CCAGCAGAGTGTTCCTGGAGTTAAGAGTCTGTTTTCTTGATTTCTCTCTTTATTTTTGCTTTGCTCTTTTGTTTTGTTTCTTAAGTTCAACATATGAGTGAAATCGTATGGTTTCTTTCTCTGAATGGCTTATTTCGCTTGGCATTAATACTTTCTAGCTCTATCCACACCATTGCAAATGGCAAGATTTCATTCTTTTTTATGACTGAGTAATATTCCATTGTGTATACATACTACATCCTCTTTACCCATTCATCAGTTGATGGAAACTTGCACTGCTTCCCTAATTTGGCTGTTGCAGATAATACTGCAATAAACATCAGGGTGCATGTATCCCTTTGAATTAGTGTTGTCATATTCTTTGGGTGAATATCCCATAGTGTGATTGCTGGATCATAGGGTAGCTCTATTTTTAACTTTTGAGGAACCTCCCTACCGTTCTCTAGAATGGCTGCACCAGTTTGCCTTCCTACCAACTGGTTCAGAGGGCTCCCCTTCCTCCACATCCTCATCAACACTTGTTATTTTTTGTGTTTTGGATGTTAGCCATTCTGACAGGTGTGAGGCAGTATCTCATTGTGGTTTCGATTTGCATTTCTCTGATGATGAGTGAAGTTGAGTATCTTTTCATGTGTCTGTTGGCTATCTGCATGTCTTCTTTGGAGAAATGTCTGTTCATGTCTTCTGTCCCTTTAAAAATTGGATTATTTGTTTTTGAGTTGTTGAGTTTTATAAGTTCTTCATATATTTTGGATACTAACCCTCTGATATGTCATTTGTAAATAACTTCTCCCATTCTGTAGGTTGCTTTTTAATTTTATTGCTTCCTTTGACATACAGAAGCTTTTTATTTTGATGAAGTCCCAGTCATTTATTTTTGCTTTTGTTTCCCTTGCCTCGGGAGACATATCTAGAGAGAAGTTGCTATGGCCTGTGTCAAAGAGGTTATTGCCTGTGTCTCCTCTAGGATTTTGATGGCTTCCTTTCTCACACTTATTTCTTTAATCCATCTTGAATTTATTTTTGAGTGTCATGTAAGAAAGTGGTCCAGTTTCATTCTTCTGCACGCTGCTGTCCAATTTTCCCAACACTATTTGTTGAAGAGACTGTCTTTTTCTGACTGGATATTCTTTCCTGCTTTGTTGAAGATTAATTGACCATATAGTTGTGAGTTCCAAATGAGTTCTTATGCTAAGGTCACTGATTAAGTTTCTATTTCTTTCAAGTTGCTAAAGGTCAGAAGACAGTATGGCTCCTTTATCTCATACCAATAACTTTACGAGGACAATTTAATTTCCTTTGTTACCAAGTTCTGGTGGACATCTCAGTGTGGTCCTCCTACTCATATCTGTTTATGATGATACTCTGTCTGAACTCTGTTTCTTCATCTCTAAAATAAGAACACCTGACATTCTTTTTTTTTTTTTATAAATTAATTTTTATTGGTGTTCAATTTACCAACATACAGAATAACACCCAGTGCTCATCCCGTCAAGTGTACCCCTCAGTGCCCGTCACCCACTCACCCCCACCCCCCGCCCTCCTCCCCTTCCACCACCCCTAGTTCGTTTCCCAGAGTTAGAAGTCTTTATGTTCTGTCTCCCTTTCTGATATTTCTCACACATTTCTTCTCCCTTCCCTTATATTCCCTTTCGCTATTATTCATATTCCCCAAATGAATGAGAACATACACTGTTTGTCCTTCTCCGGTTACTATGGCCAAGTTCAAAAAGGGTGTTGCCTGAGTTCTTCTCTGGAATTTTGATGGAGTCTTGTCTCACATTTAGATCTTTCATCTATTTTGAGTTTATCTTTGTGTATGGTGCAAGAGAGTGGTCCAGTTTCATTCTTCTGCATGTGGATGTCCAATTTTCCCAGCACCATTTATTGAAGAGACTGTCTTTCTTCCAGTGGATCGTCTTTCCTCCTTTATCGTATATTAGTTGACCATAAAGTTCAGGGTCCACTTCTGGGTTCTCTGTTCTGTTCCATTGATCTATATGTCTGTTTTTGTGCCAGTACCACACTGTCTTGATGAACACAGCTTTGTAGTACTCTGAAGAAACTCCATGGTATTTTGATAGGGATTGCATTATACGTGTAAATTGCCCTGGGTAACATTGACATTTTCACAATATTAATTCTGCCAATCCATGAGCATGGAATATTTTTCCATCTCTTTGTGTCTTCCTCAATTTCTTTCAGAAGTGTTCTGTAGTTTTTAGGGTATATTTTGAGAACCATTTGAATGGTAAATGGTTCTCCAACCTTTTATTTTCAGGTTGTAGGTGTCCTTCTGTCTAAAATGAGTCTCTTGTAGACAGCAAATAGATGGGTCCTGTTTTTTTATCCAGTCTGAAACTCTGCGCCTTTTGATGGGGTCATTAAGCCCATTCACGTTCAGAGTTACTTGAACTTCTTCTTAAAGGGGAGTTTTAAGAGTCCCCCTTAAAATTTCTTGCAGAGCTGGTTTGGAGGTCACATATTCTTTCAGTTCCTGCCTGTCTTGGAAGCTCTTTATCTCTCCTTCCATTTTGAATGAGAGCCTTGCTGGATAAAGTATTCTTGGTTGCATGTTCTTCTCATTTAGGACCCTGAATATATCCTGCCAGCCCTTTCTGGCCTGCCAGGTCTCTGTGGAGAGGTCTGCTGTTACCCTAATACTCCTCCCCATAAAAGTCAGGGATTTCTTGTCTCTTGCTGCTTTAAGGATCTTCTCTTTATCTTTGGAATTTGCAAGCTTCACTATTAAATGTCGAGGTGTTGAACGGTTTTTATTGATTTTAGGGGGGGATCTCTCTATTTCCTGGATCTGAATGCCTGTTTCCCTTCCCAGATTGGGAAAGTTTTCAGCTAGGATTTGTTCAAATACATATTCTGGCCCTCTGTCCCTTTCGGCGCCCTCGGGAACCCCAATTAAACGTAGGTTTTTCTTCCTCAGACTGTCACTTATTTGCCTTAATCTGTCTTCATGGTCCCTTAATTGATTGTCTCTTTTTTCCTCAGTTTCCCTCTTTGCCATTAACTTGTCTTCTATGTCACTCACTCGTTCTTCCACCTCGTTAACCCTCGTCGTTAGGACTTCTAGTTTGGATTGCATCTCATTCAATTGATTTTTAATTTCTGCCTGATTGGATCTAAATTCTGCAGTCATGAAGTCTCGTGAGGCCTTAATGCTTTTTTCTAGAGCCACCAGTAGCTGTATAATGGTGCTTCTGAATTGGCTTTCTGACATTGAAGTGTAATCCAGATTTTGTAACTCTGTGGGAGAGAGGGCTGTTTCTGATTCTTTCTTTTGAGGTGAGGTTTTCCTTCTAGTCATTTTGCTCAGTGCAGAGTGGCCAAAAACAAGTTGTATTGGAACACGGGGGAGTATCACTGGTCCGTCCAGCTGGTCTTCTGGGGGAGGGGCCTGCTGTGCTGATTTTCAGGTGTTAGCACTTGGGGGAGCTGCTCTGCCCCTGCCTGCTGCAGGGCTCAGCGGGGGTTGTTTACCCCGTGGGGCCCCAGGAGGAACAGCAGCAGTTGCTATGGCAGCTCTGGAAGCCTGGATTCAGCCTCTGCAGGAACTACGGGGCTCGGGCTCTCGGTTCTCCGTCCGCAGGGCCTGGAGGCTCCGGGGCGGGGCCGCTGATCTGCTCAGCTCGGGGCAGGAGCGTCCTCGCTGTCCTGGGCCCTCCCGGCCTCTGCCTGTCCCGGGGGAGGCCGGATCCTGGGCTGTGTCCAGGCGCCCTGTGCTCCGGGGCCTGCGCTGGTGGATTCGCGCTCCCGCCCCGCAGCCCCCTCCGCAGAGCCGCCGCCCGAGCCCCTCCGAGCTGCTCCGGCCCCGCCGTGCGCGCTGCAGCCCTTGGGGAGCTCGGAGCACTCTCCCGGGGCGCAGGTGTCTGTTAGTGTCCCCGGGAGCCCGAGGACATCCCTGCTCTCCTGGGTCCTGCTCCAACTCCCTGCGAGCCCCTTTCCCCCGGGAAGGTTGGTGCAGCTCCTGCTCCTCCGGGACGGGGCTCTCCTGTCCTGGGGACACTCGCCCCGGCCTCAGCCCGGCTCCTCGCGGGGCCCCTCCCCCTCGGAGGCCTTTTGTTTCTTTATTTCTTTTTCCCCGTCTTCCTACCTTGATAGAAGCGCGGACTCTTCTCACTGTAGCATTCCAGCTGGTCTCTCTTTAGATCTCAGGCCGAATTCATAGATTTTCAGGATGATTTGAAGGTTATCTAGGTATTTTGGTGGGGACAGGTGATTTGGGGACCCTGCTCTTCCGCCATCTTGCCCCTCCAATATCAACACCTGACATTCTAAGAAACTTTCCATTTCTCATATTCCTTGAGTCTCTGGTATATTCCCAGTAGGTATTTCAACAGTCAACTGAAGTGTAGTTTATCAGGTATTTATAATGTTTTAGACATCATACCAGACTCTGAGAATGGGTTAATCCCAAGACTTAATCCCTACCATGGAGGAGTCTTGTGGACACTACAACACCCTCTCCAGACAGTGATGTATTACATGTGTGGCATGAATGGTGAAGAGCAAGGGAGAGGAGGGAACCCATGACTACCTGGAATGTTGGGCCACATTGGTCAATGCTGGACTTAGACTGGACCTCAAGAAATATATATGAGTTTGGTGAGGCAGCAGGAGGGCTGGAGGCACACCTAGGGGCACTTTGGGCAGGATTCGTTTTGACCAGTCCAAAAGTACAGGAAAGTGCATGGCATTTAAAGCAATAGTCATTAAGATGTATAGCCAGAGTTGTATACATGGCAGGGATGTCAGGAGATGAAGCTCAAGATAAGTTCTACCAAAAAGTAACAGGCCTTTGTCCTGGAGGCAGTGGAGAATCAGTGGAGGGTTTTACAGGGAAATCAGATAATCAGATTGGGATTCTAGAAGAGTTCTCTAGCAGCAGAGTGAAGTTGGATTTGAAGGTGTACCAAATAGAGGCAGAGTTAGGGGATTCTCAGCAAAGCCCTAGTGAGTGAAGAAAGTCTTGTGACAGTCACAAATTTTGATCTCCAGGCACAACCTGGAGGGTCCTGGCACCAGGATCCAACCTTGTCTCTGGGCCCCCACACTTCTACTCTATCCCAGTAAATCTACTTAGCTTTTTTCTGATAAGCCATATCCAGTCCCATCTTCAGCCTTCGGTGCCCCCTCCCACACTCTCTACATTAGAGGAAAGGCTTCCTATTTATGTCAAAAGTTGTCTCAGTTTTGATGTCTCCTTATCTCTGGCACCGTCTGTCCACTGTCTTAGTTTGGCTTGACCGAGTTTCAATCTGTGATCTTGCCTTGGCTCTAGGATGTAAGGCCATAGAATACCAGAGCTGGGGGAAACCTCAGAGATAATTGAATCCACCCCCTCCTATTATGAGCACTGGAAAAGTAAGAGATTTTCCAAAGCACTCCCAGGTTGGAGGCAGAACCAGGACTGAGAATCCAGGTTTTCAGGTTCCCAATCTAGATATCTCTGCACCATATAACACCAACCACCCCTCTGGGGTCTATGACTCTACCAGAATCCCACAGTAGGATCTACTTGGCCTTGTCAGAAGTAGCTTTTCTTGGGTGAGAGGCAACATGGGCTTTCACCCAAAGCCAAGGTCTAGGTGGGACATCTCACAAATCTCTGATAATGAGATCCAAAGAATCACCCATATTCTCTTGTTAGGTTTGACTATAGCAAATACTGTTTGGATTGAATCAGTTTCCCTTGGAAGTAGAGTTCAAGATGGTGGCATTTATGGGAGCATGATCTCATCTAGGCAGATCATGCCTTCTGCTTATATTAGGTACTTAGAATGTTACTATCTAATATTTATTTTTATTTTCATTTATCACTGTTTTCAGTAAAATAAGACTTCATTTATAATGAAGTTATAATTTGTTATAACTTGTTGAATTTGTTGTAATTTGTTGAATTTGTTATAATTCAGAGAGGGGCTAGGATAATGTATTTTTATAATATCCACAAAGGAATAATTGGTAATCAAATAAAACGGTTAGCAAGATTCCTAGGCAAATATTTATGTCAAGAAGAAAATAAGGGGGCAGCCCAGGTGGCTCAGCGGTTTAGTGCTGCCTTTGGCCTGGGGCGTGATCCTGGAGACCCGGGATCAAGTCCCATGTTGGGCTCCCTGCATGGAGCCTGCTTCTCCCTCTGCCTGTGTCTCTGTCTCTCTCTCTCTTCTCTCTGTGTATTCTCATGAATGAGTAAATTAAAATATTTTTTTAAAAAAGAAGAGAATAAGGGTTTCAAGCACAAATGTTTTAGAGGCACCTTTTGAAAGCCAGACACATATGCATACCTATTCCAATATTTTATCATGCTGCAGAAGCAGCTCTGCAGCATCCTACATGCAACATATTAAACATTATTTGTTAGCCTAGCTCTGGTTACACTGTCCTGTCAAAAATCATTCACTGAGTGCCTCTTCTATGTCAGGAACTATGTCAGGATTCACTAGTAAAAAGCCCTGGTCCCACCCAAAGGGAGTTCACAGGCTGATTAGAGTGCTCCAGATACTACAAAATACTAGAAATGAATTTTTTAAAATTATGCTTACATCATTAATTACAACAGGTTTCCCTCTTGTTTGTCATTCCCCTATTTCTTTTTTAAAAGATTTTATTTATTTATTAATTTGAGAAAAATGGAGAGAGCATGAGCAGGGGGAGGGGCAGAGGGAGAGGAAGAGACAGACTTCCCGCTGAGCAGGGAACCCATCGTGGGGCTCCATCCCAGGACCCTGGGATCATGACCTGAGCCACCCAAGTGCCCTACCCTCATTTCTTACCTAAATTATGGGCTTGTCTGATACCTACAGAAAATTAACATTTATTCATTCATCTAATAAGTTTTTATTGAGCACTTAATATATTCTAGGTAGAGATTTAACAGTGAAATAAAAAGAAATACCTGCCTTTCTGAAGTTTACATTATTTATTCTTTTTTCCATAGATAAGAGACTTGCTATCTAGAACCAAGAAACCTGAGAGACTAAAAGTGAGAGAAGATCAACAGCTGGGCTTTTATGTGGATGGCCTGAAGTCAGTGCCCTGTGAGAACTATGCACAGATTGAAAGGCTGATGGAACAAGGGACAAAGATAAGGACCACAGCATCGACCAACATGAACGCCAGCAGCAGTCGGTCTCATATGGTCATTACCATTCAGTTCAAGCAGGTGAGACTTGCGGGAAGGCCACTGTCTCAGTTTCCCACCAAGCGTGGTCTATGGGAAGGGTTCCCAGTGGCATGATGAGTTGGTCAATACTATGGAATCCTTTCAGATTTGACCTACAGGTTAAGGTGGCTACTTCCAACCATGGGCTATGGAGTCAGAAACAGGAGAAAGTGAGGTACTTGCTCTTTTCCTACCTCCCCACATCCCTGCTCCACCCAGGCTCCCCAGGATGATGATGATCAGCTTTCAGATCCACGAGCCTAGAGAACTGCCAGATACTGAACTACCTTTCTGATACTTGGAAGTAGCAAGATAAAGTCTTTGAAACTAGCTAATCCATATAACTCTCCATTAACTAGATTTTTTCACAAAACTGAGCACTTTTTTCTCCTCCATACTTCTTGGTAGATATCAGTAAACTAGTAAACAATAGATCATCACCAGTTTGATTCAGAAAAAGGTATTTACAAAGCCTGAGTAAATAGTACAGTTAACTATGATTTCACCATCTCTGTTCCCAAAGCCACAGCCCTAGTAATAGGTAAAATGGTAATAAATGAAGATTATCCTGCTCTAACCAGGAATAGTGGGAAAACACTGAACTCTACCTGACTCTTTGTTTATCAGCTTTGGAACTTTGGGAAATAATTTATTCATCCTTAGTCTCAGCATCCTAGTTTGTAAAATAAGACAAATGGCAATCCTGCAAGAATGCCAGGAAGCTTAGAGAGGAACCTACATTTTAAAGAACTTTGAAGGATGACTGAGAAGATGGCAGAGAGGGCTCTGAGCTCACCTCCTTCCACCGACACACACAGGCAACAATTACACATGATCCAACTCATTCTGGAGACTGAAAGAACAGCTCTTCCACAACTAAAGACAGAAAAGAGTAGGAGGGGCAGAGAGCTAGCTGGAAATCAAACCACAGGCACAGTGACCCTCAAAGCCTGAAGGATATCATAGGTACCAAGGTATTTCTTGAGTAAGGATATCAAGCTTTACATCAGGCACCCCCTGCCCTGGAGACTGTGCACCAGGAATACAAGCCCTACCGTGTCGGGCTTTGAAAATTAGTGGACTCAACTCTGGGAGAGATGAAGAGCTATAAGAAACTGAGAGTCCCTCAAAGGGCCAACATACTACATGCTCCTACATACACTATGAGACTCAGGAGAAAAGCAGTAGTTTAAAAAGTGCCTAGGTTATACATGAAGAAGATTTATTGACTAATTTTAGGGCATGTGCCAGAGGATCAGAGATCTATAGGAACTTTCTCAAGGAATAAGAGTGCTGGCAGGTGCTATTTTTCTTGATCTCCTTCAGCCTTACCAGTCAGTCCTTGCAGGAGCCAGTTCTGATATTTTACATCCATCTTTTTAACACTGTTTGCCCTGCCTTAGTGTTTCTCTGTGGATAAACCCACCCACCCCTAGAAGCACCCCTCCAAAGAGACTCCTGTCCCAAGGAGGAGGGGAGCCAGTCTTGACCACCAGCACACCTGTAGCAGCTACAGTCAGGTCTCTCAGCAAGCTGTCCTGGGGGCCAGCTCTACCCACCACTACACCTGCAGTGGTCATACCAGTTACACAGGAGGTGCACACAGCTCACACAACAGACATCCCTGAAGTGCCTGGTTGTGCTGACTGAGTGGGGGGGTTGTGTTGCTGGACCCACATAATGCCTTCTACACAAGGCCACTACTGTCAGGACCAGGAGACATAGTTAACCTACTTAGTACATAGAAACAAACGAAGAGTCAGACAAAATGAGGAGACAGAAAAATACATTCCAAACAAAAAAATGAGACAAAACATCAGGAAAAGAACTAAATAAAATGGAGATTAGTAATCTGCTTGATAAAATGTTCAAATGATAGGGTGCTCTGCAGACTAGAGAGAAGAGTGGATGAGCTCAGTGAGAACTCCAACAAAGAGAAATATAAAAAGAACCAATCATAGCTGAGTAGTTCAATAACTGAAATGAAAAATCAGACACTAGGAGGAATCAACAGCAGATTGGAGGACACAGAACAACAGATCAGCAGTCTGGAAAACAGAGTGGTGGAAAGTACCCAGCTGAAGAGCAATTTAAAAAAACAAGAATTTTTAAATGAGCATAAGTTGTGAGACTTTTGAGTCAACATCCAGCATACTAACTTTGCATTCTTTGGGTCCCAGAAAGAGAAGAGAGAGAGAAAGGGGTAAAAAACTTTTTTTGAAGAAATAATAGCTAAAAACTTCCCTCACCCTTGGGAAGAAAACAGACATCCAGGTCCAGGAATCACAGAGAGCCCCAAACAAGAAGAACTCAAGGAGGTCTACACCAAGACACTTAATAATTAAAATGTCAAAAATTAATAATAAAAGGAACATCTAAAGGGCAGCAAAAGAAAAGCAAATATGATTAGAAGAGACTACCAGAAAAGATTATACACCAACAAATTGGACAATCTAGAAGATATAGATAAACTCCTAGAAACACAATCTTCCAAGTCTGAATCAGGAAAAAATAGAAAATCTGATCAGAATAATTACTAGTAACAAAAGTGAATTCATAATCAAAGAACTCCCAACAAACAAAAGTACAGGACCAGATAGCTTCACAGATGAATTGTACCAAACATTTATTTTATTTATTTTTTTAAAAGATTTATTTATTTTAGAGAGAGAGAGAGATTGAGAGAGAGAGAGAGCTCATGTGTGAGAATGAACATGATTGGGAAGGGGGGAGAGAGAGAGAGAATCTCAAGAATACTGTCTACTGAGCATGAAGCCTGATATGGGGCTCCAACTCACAACTGTGAGATCATGACCTGCTTGGAAATCGAGAGTCAAACACTCAACCAACTGAGCCACGCAGGTGTCCCTCTACCAAACATTTAAAGAAGTGTTAATATCCTTTCAAACTATTCCAAAAAATGGGAGAGGAAAGAAAACTTCCAAATTCACATATGAGACTAGAAATATGCTGAGGAAAAAAGAAAATTACAGATCAATATCCCTGATGAATATAGATGCAAAAATCTTCAAGAATCCAAATTCAGCAATACATTAAAAGTATCCTCCCCCATATATCAATTGGGATTTATTGCAGGGATGTAAGGAGGGGTCAATATTTGCAAATCAATCAAATGTGATGCACCACATTAACAAAATGAAGGATAAAAAGTCATATCATTATCCTAACAGATGCAGATAAAAGCATTTTGACAAAACATGTGTTCACAATGAAAACTCTCAACAAAGTAGATTTAAGGGGAACATCTCAATGTGCCTAAAAAAATCCACATGTGCCAAACTCACAGCCAGCATCATACTCGATAGTGAAAAACTAACAGCTTTTCCTCCAAGATGAGGAACAAGGCAAGGATGTGCATTCTTGCCACTTTTATCCAACACAATACTGGAAGTCCTAACCAAAGCAATGAGACGATCAGACATGGAAAAGGCATCCAAATAAGTGAAGAAGAAGTAAAAATTTCATTATTTGCAGTAAAATGATACTATACACAGAATACTCTAAAGACTACAAAAAAACTATTAGAACTAATAAATGAAATCAGTAAAGTTTCAGGATATAAAATTAATACACAATAATCTGTATATTTCTATTTCTATGCATTAATAATGAACTAGCAGAAAGAGAAATTAAGAAAATAATTCCATTTACAATTCTATTAGAAAGAATAAAATACACAGGAATAAATTTAACCAAGGTAGTAAAAGAAATATCCTCTGAAAACTATGACATTGATAAAAGAAACTGAAGAAGAAACAAATAAATGGAGAGACATTCCATGCTCATAGGTTGGAGGAACAAATATTGTTAAAATGTCTATAGTACCCAAGGTGAGCCACAGATTCAATGCAACCCCCATCAAATTATCAATAGTATTTTTTTGTAAAACAAATAATCCTAGAATTTGTATGAAACCACAAAAGACTCCAAATAGCCAAGGCAACCTTGAGAAAGAGGAATAAAACTGGAGGAATTGTAATCCCAGATTTCAAACTATACTACAAAGCTATAGTAAACAAGTGTGATACTGGCACAGAAACAGACATGTAGATGAATGGAACAGAATAGAGAGCCCAGAAGTAAACCCATGCTTTTATGGTCAATTAATCTACAACAAAGGAAATAATATACAATGGGAGAAAAGACAGTCTCTTCAATAAATGGTGTTGGGAAAGCTGGCCAGCTATGTGCAAAATAATGAAACTAGAACGCTTTTTAACACCATACACAACAATAAATGCAAAATTGGTTAAAGATCTAAAAGTGATAACCGAATCTATGTTTTAAAAAAAAGAAAACATAGGCAGTAAATACTCATATAACAGTCTTAGCAATATTTTTCTGGATCTATCTCCTCAGACAAGGGAAACAAAACCAAAAATAAACAGTTGGGACTACATCAAAATAAAAAGCTTTTGCACAGCAAAGGAACCCATCCACAAAACGGAAAGGCAGCCTACAGAATGCGAGAAGATATTTGCAAATGACATATCCAATAAGAGGTTAGTATCCAAGATACATAAAGAATTTATAAACATCAAAAAACAAAATAAAAAACAAATTTGACTTAAAAATTGGACAGAGAATCTGAATGGACATTGTCCCAAAGAAGACATACAGACACATGAAAAGATGCCTAACATCACTCATCATCAGGGAAATGCAAATCAAAATCATAAGATACCACCTCCCACCTGTCAGAGTGGCTAAAATCCAAACACAAGAAATAACGAGTGTTGGCTAGGATGTAGAGAAAGGGAAATCCTTGTGCACTGTTGGTGGGAATGAAAATTGGTGCAGCCACCATGGAAAACAGTGTGGAGGCTCTTCAAAAAATTAAAAATAGAAATACCATGATGATCCAGTAATTCCACTGCTGAATTACTTACCCAAATGATAGATAGAAAATGATAATACTAAATCAAAAAGATATATGCACCTCTATTTATTTACCATAGCCAAGATTTAGAAACAACCTAAGTGGAGCACCTGAGTAGCTCAGTCCATTTAACATCTGCTTTTGGCTCAAGCTGTGATCTCAGGGTCCTGGGATCAAGTCCCGCATCAGGCTCCCTGCTCTGTGGGGAGCCAGCTTCTCTTTCTGTCTCAGCACCCCCACCTCTCTCTCTCTCTCATAAATAAAATCTAAAGAAGAAAAAAGAAACAATTTAAGTGTCCAATAATACCATATGGTATATATACCCAATGAAATATTACTTAGCTTTAAAAAAGGATGAAATATTGCCTTTCAGTACAATATGGAAAGGTCTAGAGGGTATTATGCTAAGTGAAATAAATCAGAGAAAGAAAAATACCACATGACTTCACTTGTATGTGGAATCTTAAAACATAAGACAAAGAACAAACTCACACAAATAGAAACAGACTCATAGATACAGAGAACTGGTGGTTGCCAGTAGGGAGAGTTTGAAAAGATGGGTGAAACAGGTGAAGGCAATTAAGAGGTACAAACCTCTAGTTAACAAAATAAGTCACAGGGATGAAAAGTACAGCATAGGGAATATAGTCAGTAATATTGTAATGACATTGTATGGTGACAGATGATAACTCCACTCATCATGGTGAGCATTTTGTAAATTATATAATAGCCAAATCACTATGTTGCACACCTGAAACTAATGTAATGTTTTATGTCAACTGCCCTTTGATTAAAAGTAAAAATAAAAAAAAAAGTAAAAATATAGGGGCACCCAGGTGGCCCAGTTAGTTAAGCATCTGATTGTTGGTTTCAGCTCAGGTCATGATTTCAAGGTCATGAGATTGAGCCCCATGTGCAGCTCCACACTCGTAGATAGTCTGCTTGAGATTCTCTCTCTCTCTCTCTCTCTCCCTCTTACCCTTCCTTTGCTTATTCACTCTCTCTGCCCCCTCAACCCTGCTTGTATATGCACGTGCACTCTCCCTTAAATAAATAAATAAATAAATAAATAAATAAATAAATAAATAAATAAATAAATAAATAAATAATTTAAGTAAAAAAATAAAGAACTTTATTAAGTACTACTCAGATGATTTTACAATGTTAGTAACACTCATAAAACTTGTATATGGTTTGCCTTGCTATTTTTATAACTTAATGTTTTAGAGGCAAGGGAAGAAATCCACTGGAAAAATGTGTGTAGAGATCTAGTGTCACACTCTGCTTCCTGCTATCAGTAATAATATTAACACCTACTACTGTATGCCAACCATGGTTGGAACCATTACTTCTCTTATCTGTTACCCTCCTAACACTCCAATAATATGCTATGATCCCTGTTTTCCAACTGAAATAGTTGAAATTCTACAAAGAATTATGGTTATGTAACCAGTGAGGGGGTCTGTCACATTCTAAAATCCACATTCTTTTTCCTTTCCTGCATGACCACACTGTCCTGAACAGTTACTTATTTTGCAGATTTCCCAGTATTTTCTATTTAAAATATTGGGATCCCTGGGTGGCGCAGCGGTTTAGCGCCTGCCCTTTGGCCCAGGGCGCGATCCTGGAGACCCGGGATCGAATGCCACGTCAGGCTCCTAGTGCATGGAGCCTGCTTCTCCCTCTGCCTATGTCTCTGCCTCTCTCTCTCTTTCTGTGTGAGTATCATAAATAAATTAAAATAAAATAAAAAATAAAATGTTTGATCACAGAAATACTAGAGAAGTAATTGGTATCTAATATACCACTGGAAACAGCTTTGCAAAATTGAGAAGGAGCAACTAAGACATTTGGGCCTGGCAATGTATTATTGTGAAATGTCATTGTAAAGAAGATGGCCTTTTTTTATGTATATATAGAGAGAAGGAGAGAGAGAGAGAAGAGAGTGAGCAGGGGGAGGAGGGCAGTACAGAAGTAGAGAGAGAGAATCCTAAGCTGGCTCCATGCCCAGCACATAGTCTGACAAGGGACTTGATCTCACGATCCTGAGATCATGACTTGAACTAAAATCAAGAGTTGGACACTTGGGGCATCTGGGTGGTTCAGTCAGTTAAGTGCCTGCCTTTGGCTCAGGTTGTGATCCCAGGATCCTGGTCCTAGGGTCCTGGGATTGAGCCCCACATCGGGCTCTGTGCTTAGCAGGGAGCCTGATTCTCCCTCTTCCTCTGCCTGCCACTCTGCCTACTTGTGCTCTCTCTCTGTCAAATAAATAAATACTATCTTTTAAAAAAAGAAGAAGAGTCAGATACCTAACTGACTGAGCCACCCAGGCACCCCCAAGGTAGCCTTTTAATTTGTTTTATTATATATTTTTGAATGTAAAGTACAATTAGAAAAAAATATTTTAAAGTGTGAACTGGATTAACTTTATAGGTAGCCTACCACCACTCTAATAACATGATTTATGGCACTTTCCTACAGGTTTTCCTAGACAGAGACCTCACCAAGCAATCCAGTATTAATTTGGTGGATTTAGCAGGAAGTGAAAGACAAAAATCCTCAGGATCTGAAGGAGATAGACTGAGGGAAGGATCACGAGTTAACTTAAGTTTAACCAATTTAGGAATTGTTATCAGGTAAATAATTGGTGCATGGGTATTTATTTCCACCATAAAAATAATTTCAGAAATACAAAATCAGATTGATCATAATAAACCCTTGGTTCAAGACCCACTGTCATCATTGGTTCATGCCTGGTCCTCCTATATGTTTTAAACTTACTAGTTTTTAATAAAACTAAAAACACTAGTAAAGTCACCACCCAACCCAAGAAACAGTTGGTATTTCTCTGCTATGCTTCCCTTGGAGGCAACCGCCATCTTGAATTTTGCTTATCGCCTCTCTGTCCCTCACTTCCTTTCTTCTCTCACCCTTGCTTTATCACTTGTGAATATTATTAGTTAGTGGCATTCATTTTTGAAAATGTACAAAAAGGGTAAATATTATACTGTCTTTTGGATCTTGTTCTTTTTTAAGTGATCAAAGTATAAATTACATGAAGTACACAAATCTTAAATGTTCAGCTCAGTGAATTTTTATATGCATATATCTGTGTAATTACTACCCAGTTCAAGATAACAAAACATTTCCAAAATCCAGAAAGATCCCTCGTACCCTCCTCCTAGCTTTTATTCCCACCAAAAGAAATTGATCTTTGCCACTAATAATTGATTTTGCCTAACTATATTGATTTTCATCTAAATGTGACCATTTATAAAGAGGTCACTATCTTTTGCATTTGGCTTCATTCACTAAGGACTGTGTCTGTGAGACTAAACCATGTTTCTTATGTAGTGTATTAGTTCTTTCTCATTGCTGTATAAGATTCCATTGTAGGAATTTGCCACAATTCATTTATCCATTTATTTATTTATTTATTTATTTATTTATTTATTTATTTGAGACAGAGAGAGAGGCAGAGACACAAGCAGAGGAAGAAGCAGGCCCCATGCACAGACCCCGATGTGAGACTTGATCCCGAGTCCCCAGGATCACACCCTGGGGGGAAGGTGGTGCTAAACCGCTGAGCCACCCAGGCTGCCCCTCCATTCTCCTATTGATGGACATTTCATTTGTATCCAGGTTTTGACTATTATGAATAGTGTTACTATGAACACTCTTGTATATATTGATTTTTAGGTGTCCTTTACATATTTTTTATTACTCTTTCTCAGGTATGTAGTAATATCTTCTCCCAAAAGGTAGCTTGTTTTTTCACTTTAAGGTGTTTACTGATGAGCAGAAATCATGATAATGATTTTTGTTTTGCATTTTTTATGGCTTGTTTAAGAAAATTAGAATCCACTGGGTGGATTGATGAGCACTGGGTGTTACACTATATGTTGGCATACAGAACTCCAATTAAAAAATATATACAAAAAAAAAAAAGCTGTCTCCCTACATTTTGCTTAATTTCCTATCCATCCGGAGTTGACTTCGGTGCGTAGTGTAAGGTAGGCATCATTTTCCTTATTTTTTTTACTTACAGATTACCACTTTTTCCAGTTAGACTTGTTGAATAGTGCTTCCTTTCCCCAGTGGATTTTCTATGCTACCTCTGTCATAGACCAAAATCCAAAATATTTTATTATTTAGCTTTTTAATCTGTTCAACTGGTCAATGTCTAGTTAGTAATAAAGGCTTTATCCTCTTCCTTCCAAGGATTTACATCCTATATTTGTGATTGTTGATGTGTATGTTAATTCTATTCTTCTCTAATCCTAAAAGACATTATTATTTCTATTTTACACAGTTTTCATTTTTTTAATTTATTTGCTCCTTCTTAAACCTCAGAGTTGCTAAAATTGGTCTCCTCTTGGTGGAAGTAGATTCTGTAGAATTTCCTTCAGTGATCACCTGCTGATGGCAATTTCTCTTTTTTGGTTGAAATTTTTTTATTTCACCTCATTCTCAGAAGGCAGTTTGGCTGGGTATAAAGTTATAGATGTGCAGTATTTTCTTCAGCTCATTAAGGTTACAGTCTCCTGCTTTCTCCTGGTGGTTTAATTGCTATTTTCTTGAATATAGTTTATCTTGCCCTCCTCCAGCTGCTTTTAAGCTCTTTTGTTTTTAAACTTTATTTATTCATGAGAGACACAGAGAGGCAGAGACATAGGCAGAGGGAGAAGCAGGCTCCCTGTAGGGAGCCTGATGTGGGACTCAAACCCAGAACTCTGGGATCACTCCCTGAACTGAAGGTAGGCACTCAACTCCTGAGCCACCCAGGCATCCCTAAGCTCTTTTGTTTTGATGTTCTCCAGTTTCATTATGTTGCATTTGAGTGTGAATTTATTAATTCTGCTTGGAATTCCCTGTCCTCCATAGCTCTATAGATTAAAGATTTCTATCAGTATTGGGAAATTCTCAGCCATTACATCTCATATACCGTCTGTGCCCATTTTCCCTCTTCTTTTCTGGAATTTCAACTAGACCATTTAAATCTACTCACACTATCCTCTGTGACTCAACCTTCCTTGCCTGTTTCCCATCTCCGTGTCTCCAAGCTGCAATCTGGTTGATCTCTTTTGAACCATCTAGTTCACTAATTCCAGGGTTGGTTGTTTTTTTTTTTTAAGATTTTATTTATTTATTCGAGAGAGAAGCAGAGAACAACAGAGGGAGAAGCAGGCTCCATGCAGGGAGCCTGATACGGGACTCGATCCCAGGACTCCAGGATCATGCCATGAGCCAAAGGCAGGCACCAAACTGCTGAGCCACCCAGGGATCACTCAGTAATTCCAATTATAAGTGTCTAACTTGCTGTTAAACCTGTCCATTGTATTTTTCATTTCAATTACTGTATTTCTTTCTAGAAGATCATTTTGTTTCTTTTACAAATCTGCTAAAATAACTTTATAGATTTCTTGTCACTGTTGGTAATTATAATTTCCCACAGATGGGATTGCTTCCCTCCTCCTCCCCACTTTCATCAGTCTCTCATCAATGACAACACCACTGTCTTTGCAGTGGCTGGAGTGGGGTGGGGACTGACACAGTTATTCATGCTTTCTCTGGTGTGTTGTCATACAGGGTCCTAAGTTTATGTGCTTTTCTGAAGGCAGTGTGAGAGAAAAGCAAGAAGAGGACTTAAACCCACTCCCCATTCTGGCCTTTACGCTGCTAGCTGGCCACCCTCTTCTTTCCAGAAACTCCTCTAATACACAGATTTACAGTAGCCTGCAGGCTCTTTGGGTCTCCTCACAAAGTTTAGTGTGTTCCTTCTTCAGATCAGCTTCCCTCTATCTGTCATGGTCTCTTTCCAGGGCTGAGTTCAGAGACTGATCCAGTGGCTCATGTGGTTAGCTGTCTTGCTTTGGCATCTTTGTACAGAAGGTGTCTCAATTGGTGAATATTCTTTAGAGCCATGTCTTAGGTTTATGGGGCCAAAGAGGGGATGGGGGTGTTTCTGGCTTATTCCCAGGGAGGCAAATTTCTTCTCAACATATATTTTTTTAATCTCTTGTTTTGTATTTTCTTTTTCATTCAGTGCTCTAGCTGATGCAGCCATGGGGAAGAAAGTCTTGCACATTCCCTACAGAGATTCTGTTCTGACCAAACTGCTGCAGCCAGCTCTGGGCGGCAACAGCAGAACTACTTTGGTAAAATGACTTTCTTACAACATGTGAGACTGATTCCGCTGTTGCTGCTGTTGTCATTGTTATTATTGTTATGCTTGGTGTACTACAGTGCCGCATTTTATATTTAGCAGCACATTCCTACATGTCTCGTGACTCCGGGAACTCTTTCTCCTACGATGTTCGAATATTGCTCATTTTAATTTTTAATTTATTCTTTTCTGCAGTTTTTAGGTTCTCAACAAGGAACATATGTTACTATTATTATCAGAAAAAACATACAGCTTTTCAAATAACACTGATAATGTTGTACTATTCTAAATCAGTGGTCATTTCGTGGCAAGACTAGAAATCAGTTTGACTATGTGTGAGACATGAGGCAGGTGTTTAATTACAGAGGAGATGAACTGTGTCATCTTAGCAAAGACTTGAGACTTACTATTGAATGTTTGCCAAGTGGGTCCAATGTAGAATGTATTAAAATTCTTGGCTCTTCAGCTGCAGGTGTGAGAAGGAACAAAACCAGGTAAACTCGTCCTGCCTCCAATCTGCTGTCCCCATTGGGAGAGAAATGCTCACTTCAGGGCTTGTTCTATACACTGTCTCCCAAATTCACAGCATAAGATGTCCTTACTTTCTATCACTGAATCTTGCCTAAGCCTTTACAAGTATTTTCAAGTTTTTCTGGTTGTCTGTCAGGGCCTGTGGGTCTCAGTGGGACATCCCCCAAGAACCTGGAAAAAAAGAAGTGCCCATAAGATGCTCAGAATGTTAGACTACAAAGTCAAGTAACGGGTCTGAGCAGGTCTGTGCAAATGCCTGAAGAGGGCCGGACTTCCAGGTCTGCAGGATAAGGTCCTAACTCGGGCACTACAACACTTTGACAGAAAAAGATGTAGTTGGGAAGAGGTTGGGGGTGACTCAAAAGAGAATCTGAAAAGCCAACATCCAAGCACTAGATCCTCTGTGGCTCCAATCCCATTTCCAGTACAATTATCCTAACACCTCCTGTGCTTTATTTCTAAAGACAAGATGCTAACAGTATTCCCTTGAAAATGTTGCTGTCAAAGGACAAAAACGAACGAGCCTTAAAAGCCACAGGGCTAAACCAAGGGGAAGGGTTATTCCCCGGGCCCTCATGCTCTGGATTGTGATCTCCAGTTCCATAGATTACGCACTGCCACTAGGGCAGCTGTGTTCCCTCTAGTGCACCTCAGCTTGCTTTCTCATTTGAATTCCGGAATAATTAACCCTGTCAGGGTTGGTTCCAGGCTCAGGTCTTCCCATGGTCCTGTGGGTGACCTCAAGCATGTGATTTTTCTTTGAGCCTCAGGGTGTGTGTGTGTGTGTGTGTGTGTGTGTATGGGGAGGAGGGGATGAGTATAGGCTATAAATGTGTGTTGTATGTGTTTTCAGAGTTGAAAAGCTTAAACGATACTGTAAATCACAAGATACTCTATGAATGTCAGCTGTATAATATCTACAACAACAAACCCCTATAAAATCACACAACCTAAAAGGAATGTTTTTCTTTACAGATAGCAGCCATAAGTCCTGCTGACATCTGCTATGAAGAAACGTTGTCCACGTTAAGATATGCTGAAAGGTATGGTTATGAATATTTACTATCCCTAGTGGCTCTCAGTTGTAAACATGTCAACTTCTTCCAGGACTCTTGTACCCAATGGGTTGGTGGTTGGGGAAGAGGTCCAGGAGAAGGCTGAACAGAATGATTTCTGGGGACATGGGGCCCTCCTGGCCTATCACTCGGTCACTCCAGCTCTGCATGGGAGAGGCACCATGGACTCAGATCAATGGAGGAGAATTGATCCCAATCCTGATGTGATTGGCATCAGTCTCCCTGTGTTTCCAAATAGCATGGCCTTTCACATATCTCTCCCTTTGTTACACGGCCCACGGGTATTGTCTAGTAGCAGACAAGGGACTTTTATGCTAATAATAGGAGAAGGTGAGTATGTGCGAGGCAACTCCCGGGCTGGCACCTACCCTCCAATTCTGCAGGTGCGGCTTTCCCTGAGCTCATTCTCACTTCTCCAGGCCTCCACGCAGACAGATTATACTCTTCAGAGTAGGCTTGACAGTCACTGGTATCTCTCTTCTCAAGGAGGGTCCATCCTCACCAGGTTCCTTCTATCCAATGGGGCCAGGGAAGCAAGTCCACACACTTAGTCCCGGCAGGAGGCAGGCATCTGGATCCTGCTTCTCCTGACCCTTTTGAAAAAGATGAGGGTCCAGGGCAAGGGAACCTCTAAGCAGGGCAGAAGCCACACGCCACCACCACTCCTCCTTCCCTTTCACACACCAGACACTGAGAATCCACCACAGAGACCCACCTGTCGGGCTCAGATGGGAGCTTGGAATTCTCAGGCCCGCGTTCCGGGAAGCTGGAGCTGGCAAGTGAAATGAAACTCTTTCGCCTGCTGTAATGTGTCACTCGTCAGCCTATGGGCTTGTATGTCAGTCAGGATCTGGCCCTACGAGCCATGTAAACTTGGGCAAGACACTCTCCCTCCCCAACCCTTGGCCACATCCCATATCGAGAGAGGCGACTTCTCATCAGAGTTAAGGTGAAGAACACAGGAGATCAGCACAAACTTCCTGACACATGGTGGATGCTCAAATCCACAGCTGTTTCTGTGCCACTAAGTAGTGACTACTTCCCTCTGGCCCCGTCTCAGGGAGGGAGCTCTTGCATTTCAGGACATACTAGCGTCTTCCTACACTGTACAGCCTCAAGATGTGTTACACCAGCAGATGTCTGCCAGCATCTGGACCACAAGATCAGATCTTTAGGTCAATTTTATCTCTCTGCTTATCAGATACAAATCTGTGGCCAGGAGATTTCATGTGAGAGACTACGTGATGCACATGAAGGAGCGCACAGAGTCCTGGGCTCTGATCCCAAATCTGCCACAGGCTGTATGACATGGGAGCAAGGCTTGGAAACCCTCTCTTCCTCAGGGAAAGGAGGAAGGTGGTCAGAGATAGTAAACAACAACACAGGATTCACTGTTAAACTCTGATTTCAGAGACAGAGCAAGTCAGTAATGTGTGTGAACATGAGTTCGTCCCATGAAATATTTGGGGGTGTCCCACATCTCCTGTGGGGTACTAGAGGCAGTGCAAGAGTTAACCGTCAAGACCCCGCTCACTTGAGGCACATGCAGAGCAGCAAGGAGCACCTCCAGGGCTGGGTTAGGACCATGCGTTCAGGGCCCAAGACACATCAGTGTGGGGCTGTGGGTCCAGAGGAGCTGCTCATGTTTATCTGAGCCATGGATGCCCCTTAAGTCCCTTTTGGCCTTAATGGTTCACTGGAACCCGACATAGTGGAGCCTGAAATCACCCCAGCTGAAAGGCTCCCACTCTGCCGGTTTCTGGCCAGTGCTCTGCAAGGGGTCCAGGGCCTGATCATGTGTTCCTGTTTGAACATGGAAGGGCTAAAAAGATCCAGAACAAAGCCGTGGTCAACACCTCAATGCTGATGAGAGAGGCAGAGGCGGAGAACAACAAAGTGCTGCTTGCATGCGGAAATTCCAGAATGGCAGGTAAACTGAGTCTGGAGTCAGTGCCTGGACCAGGCCAGCAGTGGGATGGAGGGAGGGATCAACTGCATGCTCAGCCTGGGGCTTGAGGGGAAAACACCTGCTTAAAGTCACTGGAGCCTTAGTCCAGCCCAGGGCAGCCTCTGGGAACATTTGGGCCCTGGCCTTGGGGAAAAACACTTTATTTTGGAGGCAAATGCAGATTCACATGCTGTTGTAATAATGGCCCTGCTCTTTCTAGGTCACTTTAGTCTCATTTTTATTGCCATTTTTATCCCAAAGCCATTGTTTCTGCCAAGACTACTCTTGAGGATCTTCCCGGAATTGCACAGTGGCTCTCTGACATTTGTTCTACTGATGGCCTCATGCAGTTCAATGATGTTTGCATCTCCAGAAGCCTTAGTGGCCCACCCCTACCTGCATGGTAGCGTCACCTGGTGAGCATCACCAGGCCCATTAATCCACAGGGCCAGCAGTAGAGCTCAAGGTGTCCCACTGTGCTTTGAATTAAGGCCTCAGATTTCCGGGGGCAGCACGGACGCATATATAACTATGCTTATTAATCACTTCAAATGGGATGGACCCCGCCAAAAAAAAAGGCAAATTATAAAACTGGGGAAATAAAATTGGTGAAAGTATTTAGCATGAAAACAGCAATGTAAGATGGTCCAAACCCTTGGTGTTTAATGCTTGTTAAGGGAGTATGAGCTCCAGCCACCATGCACCCTGGCACCCAGCACCGCCGGCAGGGCTCCCTTGCTCCGGAGCAGCTCGAAGGTAGTGGCAGCCGTTTCTGACCCCAGCACTTCTGTGCACACGCATGCACGCACACACCGGGCTGCCTGGGGGCAGGGCGGGTGGTGCTCCACCCGGCATATGTCTAGACTCCCACGTCCTGACACACAGAGACTTCCCAGCAAAGCGCTTCCTACATTAGAGGCAGTGCCTACGGCTGCTACACTCCTGATTCTGCTTAGTCCCAAATCTTTGCGTCATCATGAACTGGACGTGCCAGATAATGACCTGAACATAGCATCAAATGCCCACTGTTCATAAGCACAGACACAAAATATGCAGGAAGCCACCTGAGTCTGATTCTCCCTGAGTGCCCTGGCCTTACAGGAATTCCCTGTAACAATGGTCTATGGGGGAGGACGTGCCTCCCCCCAATCACATGCCTACGCGAATGAAAAATAGAATATTGAGCTTCCTGCATCTTCCAATACAAGGCCTTCTTGCTCTAGGACCCTATGAACTAAGATGATAGCACTCTTTGTAGAAATGGCCAAGGGATTTCTTCTTCACACGTAAGCACAGCACAATTTCCCACTCTGCTCAGTCCCCAGTTTGAGCTGAGGAAGGAGTCAAGTCTTATTATAGTTATTCTGCTCCTCACCCTTGATATTGCAGACCCATCGCTTAAGTACCTCCCCCCTTTCAGAGCTGCCAGCCTGCCTCCTGGCAGATCAGAGCCTCGGATGGCAGACCGGCCAGGTGACCTGGGCACACCAGCTGGAGCAGGCTCGGGAGGAGTGGCAGCAGCAGTACCTGGCCATTGCCCAGGTGAGCTTCACTGCCTCCACCTGCAGAGGCCGACACCTGGCAGGAGCCTCACCCCGTTCCCAGACACACACGGCTGCCTGGACTGCTTTTTCCAGTGAATGTGTGTAGTATGTGAGATGTGGCGTGTGATATGTGACAAATGACTCCCATCACTGCTGTTGACAGGGACGAGAAGGAAGGAAGCCAAGAGGGTTGATGAGTAAGACTGAAGGTAGATCCAAGGCTGTTGATAATTACAGTTTGGGGAGAATTTGAGGACTGTCTTCTGGGGACCGTGTGGTGTGCCCCTGAACCATGGTATCTCCTTGGCATTTGCTGCCAGGATCGGATTGTGTGAATCGGATCGATGTGAATTTCATAGGTGGGTTAGGGAGATACCCTCTTGGCCCCCATCCACAGCCCACTCCCGCCATGACCCGACCCCCTGAAGCCACAGGTTCTGCACAAACTTCAAGTCATGGGCCAGACTCAGAGCACTTTGGGAGCAGTGGCAGAGGTCCGGTCTGGCTCCTGAAAGGCTTATGAAGCCTGGAATGGAGGTGAGCCTCAGGCTAGGGGAGTGCAGTGGGGTCAGGTCTGCAGTACCAGGAGGCTAGGTCAAGTTAGGGCCCAAGGATTCTAGAAGTGTAGACAGTAACAACGGAAAAGATTCTTACCCTCCTTACCCTTTAGCGGAATTTCAAGATTTAAAGGCTTTCCATGTGCATGCTCAGTGTAGTCTAGTTCTAATTGACTGCGAATCCTCTATAAGCCCAATACTAATCAATACTGTACTCAGGGAGGAGACGCAGTCAGGTGACCAGGAGAGAGTACTACATGCCACATTTTGTCCTCTGTGCCTGATTACCAGTGAGCTTACCAGCAGGATGTGGGAAGCATGAGATGTAGGGTAGCAGGTTTAGTGGAGGCCCAAGGCAGGACGAGCCAGATTAGGCACCTCCCTGGGGCATCGGGATGACTGGGGATATGGCGGCCTGCAGAAAATAGTGGGGTAGAAGTCAGGGTAGAAGGGGACGAGGCAGGGCAGCCAGGAAGGGGGAGCAGAGTCAGGGAAACCAGCTACACTGGGCAGCATTCCTATCCCAGTGAACTCAGGCCCCAACGGCCGACCTGCCAAGGCTCTCACCTCGGCAGAGCCCCTGCCCTACCCGGCCTTCCTCATCCACGTTCGCCTCTCTGGGCGATTTGACAGGATGCATAGACAAAGGGCTTTGGCACGAAGTGGACAGGACAGGAACACTGCTGTCCTGAACCCACGGGCCCTGGGACCTCTCCGTGTTTCCTCCAGGAGCGGCAGATGATGGAGACCTTCCCACACCTTCTCAACGTCAACGAGGACCCGCAGCTCACAGGAGTCCTCAAGTACTTCATTCAGGCTGGTACTCACCCGTCTTGACTCACTCGGCACCTGCTCCTGTGTCTTGCTTTCAGGAGCACATTTCTCTTTTGAATCTCTCTTTTCATGGTAAATATATGTAACGTAGAGGTCAGCATGCTGATGATTTTTCAGTATGTAGTTCAGGGGCATTAGAACAATCACCTCGATCCAACTCCAGAACCTGTCCCCTCCCAAACCGAAACTCTGTCCACATTCAGCAACAACTCCACGTGCCCCTACACCAGCCCCTGGCAACCGCCAACTATTCTAGATACTCCATATAATTGGAATCATGCGGTATCTGTCCTTCTGTGACTAGCATGATTCACCCGGCATAATGCCCTCAAGGTTCACTGATGTAGCAGGTTATACAGCTCTCCTCCCTTCCTTTTTAAGGCCGAATCATATTCCATTATATGTATAGACCACATTTTTTAATCTATTCAAATTTTGGAAAATGGCCTCAATATTGTAGCAACAGCTGACTTTCCGCATCTGAGTGCTACACAGGCCCCCAACGGGAGAAGGCTCATGCGGGATGGAGGTGGGGCCCGGGAGCTGGGCAGCCCCCGGGAGGGCCGGAGGGTGCTCTGGGCCGTGTCCAGGGTATCAGTGACAGGACAGAAACAGCTTCACAGACTAGGACCTTGTCCGGGCCAAGCTTTCACGCATCTCCCAAGGCCCCGGCTCAACAGTTTCTCCGTCCAGGATTCCCACTGATCAGGTAGAATTTGAAAAAAGTCAAGAATCCCACAAAAAAGGCGGGGGGGAGGGGCAGAAAGTAAAATAATCACCCCTAAGGCAGGGTGATGTCCAAGCACTTGAGACTAAAAAGTCCAGGTGGCAAAATCCCTGCACCCCATCATCCTCAAGACGAAATGGCACGGCCTGAACATGAGACACGTTCCCTTGTCAAGGTCAAATTCTGACAATTTTGAAAATAAATTATCTTCATTCTTTTCAAGGCTCCTGTGATGCTGGTCGGGCTGCTTCAAATGCCATCCCTCTTCTAGGTTTGGGGTAAGTGTGCGTACGCCATCTGTGTCCCGTGTGCGAGAGCCATGACCTCAGCTCACACGGCCTGGTCTGCGAAGCTCCACATTTGTCTGGTCACTGCCCGGTCAGGCCACAGACCCTGCTGGATGACCCAGAACCAAAGAGTCCCAGCCTGTCCCCAGAGCCCCACATCAGTGCTGGGCGGGAGGAGGCCCCTGTAAGGCCTTGTAGGCTCTCACCGCAGACCCTCCTCCACGATCACCTTGTCTCCTTGGTCTCATGTGGGGCCAGAGGGGAAGGCCATGTGCTAGACGCTGTTTGATAATTCTGTACAAGGGGACGAAGCAGACGAGGCCAGGGAGTGAAAAGGGAGCCAGCCACAAGTGGCCTGTGTCTTTTGGGGTCTTAACCACCAAAGCAATGGCATCCTCAGATCTCTGTGCTCAGAGCCCTCACCAGCTGGGCCAAGAGGAAGCCCAGCCTCTGAAGTGATACCCTCTGCAAGGGGAGGCCCCGAGGTGCCCTATGGTGGTCCCCATGAACCCTGACTATCCTGTGCATCTATGGCCTCCCTACTGCTCCTTCCCATTCCAGGGTTTCCTGGCTGCCCACGGATTCCCAGCCAGGAGGCCCAGTTGGCTCTTACAGAGGCCTGACTGTCCCGTCTCCCTGACATACCTCAGCCCTCCTGAGCCAACGTGCAGGGAGAGGAGAGGAGGAGGCCTGTGCTGACCCTGCCCCACCAGCTTCCAGCTCCCTTCTCCTGACTCATCCTGGGGATCCCTCTCATCTCCCTTTCCAGACCACTCCCTGTGGGCACCCTACACAGATCTATACATGGCTGAACTCCAGATGAGTTGAGGTTAAAACCTTTCCCACAGCATCCCTGAGCCCCAAGCAAACAGGGATATGCATGGACACATATCTCAGCACCCAGAACAGTCCATGACAACCAAGGAGTCTAGGAACATTCTAGAACAGTTAAGCTGGTCATTCAGGCACACAGGGCTGTCCAGGGGGCAGCCACTCTGACACCTCTGACATCTATCCCCAGATCCTTAGCATATAAAGTCTGGATTTGTATTATAAGACCTAGAAATGGATCTAAACTTCTCTGTGGTGTGTACGTTGTTATTAATCACATGCCCCAGCATCCCTCCTGAAACATCTTTGCTTTGTTTCCGTTTCCCCACCACTCGCTCCTGCTGGCCTGGGAGTTTCTGAAGGACCACTGGAACTGTTCACTAACTGTTCATTATCTTGGCTACTTAGACAAACTCTTGTCTTTTTAGAATTACAGATAAACATGCTTCCTTCACAAATGTGGACGGGAAAGTGACAGTCACTCCACACAGCAAATGCAAAGTTGTTGTCAATGGGGTGCCCATCACGACCACGACAAAGCTGCAGCATCTGGTAGCATTTCCTGCCTGAAATTCCCTAAGTCCTACCGCCTACCCAAGAGCTGGGAGAGGGGGTTCTCAGGAGGTACCCCCAACATCTGCGCTGTGGCGAGGGCTGGGCAGGGCTGGGTGCTAACCACCCCGTTTCCTTCTGGAACGGTGTCATGATAGACATGGTCACAGCCTGGGGCTGGGAGACCTGATAGTAACATGCTATGTGTTCTTGAGCAGGTCACTTCACTTCTCTGGACTTCATCTCTGGACTTCACCAAGACCCTTTCCAGCTCTAACACTTTATGAGAAACAAAACTACAGCCCCTTGCAGACACCGGGCTCTCCATCTCCTCCCCACACCCCAGCCAGAACCCCCAGCACCAAAGGGGCTCCCCTCAGCCTCCCTGTGGCCCAATCCCCTCTTCAACCCATTCCCCACACCGTAGCCACAGGGAGCCTATTGGACAAGCTGCTGGGATTAGACAACACCCTTCTGGAAATTCTCAGTGACCAACCTGTTAGGACACCCGTGTGAGCTGCCCCTCTCTCCACTGCTTCCAACCTCACTGCTCCGCATGAACGTTGCACTGACCTCCTGATTGTTGGGAACATTCCAGGCTCTGTCTGGCAGCAGACTTCTCAGCGTTGCTAAAACTCCCCACCCCTGAAGTCTTAGCTTAAATAGTGCACCTTGGGAGTGGACCACTCTGGTCCTCAGTGCAAATCAGGCCCCCTCCTCCCTTCTGCAGAAGTGCCTCCTTTCATTCAAGCATCTCTCTCGGGCTATTACACCGTTGGTCTGTAAAGTCCTAGATGGGAGGGCCCAGGTCTGTTTGGTCCCCACTGGGGTTCCCAGTGTCCCATGCAGTCGGAGCTTAGTGTGGGATACAGAGGAAACAGATGAAAGCACGCACACAAAAGCAAGATGCCAACCTCTTCCTCCCTGTTCACAAGTCTCTTCCCTGTCCGGGGAACTCATGGAGGTCTTGTGATTTATCCCAGTTGGCGGGCCTGGGGCCTTGGCCTCCCCTGGGGCAGGCTGACCCCACAGCGTCCTTCCCCTGAGTTACCCGTCTCCTCCCTAGGACCGCGTTATCTTGGGATCCAGCAGCGCCTACCTCTATATTGGGTTTCCTTCGGAGCGAGGCAGCGAAGACTTGAACAGGTTTGACTATGACTTTTTCCAGCTGGAGAGAGCAGCTGTGGAGGGAGTGAGCATGGACAAGCTTGGTGAGCAGCCCAGGGCCCTGCCTTTCCGGCATCTTCTGCACACTGATCCGCTGATCCGAAAGCAACTGCTTTCACTGTGTGCTCTCCCACTTCACTTAAGGAAATAATCTTTTAAAAGTGCAATGTTTAGGAAGTTAACATGATTTCCATGTAAATGCAGAATGAGGGCATGTCAAAGATTAAGTTCATTAAACTGTTACTTTAATAAACAGTAGAGAAGAGAGTGGTAATCCAGTTGACTCTTGAACAACACGAGTTTGAACTGCTCTGATCCACTTACATGTGGATTTTTTTTTACATGTGGATTTTTTGTTAAATAAAGGCAGCATATGGGATCCCTGGGTGGCGCAGCGGTTTAGCGCCTGCCTTTGGCTCAGGGCGCGATCCTGGAGACCCGGGATCGAATCCCACATCGGGCTCCCGGTGCATGGAGCCTGCTTCTCCCTCTGCCTGTGTCTCTGCCTCTCTCTCTCTCTCTGTGACTATCATAAATAAATAAAAATGTTTAAAAAAAAAATAAATAAAGGCAGCATAGCTCTGAAAATATATTTTCTCTTATGACTTTCTTCTCTGTAGCGTACCTTATTGTAAGAACACAGTATATAATACATAGAACAGACAAAATGTGTGTTAATCAACTGTTTACTGGTGAGTTTTCAGGACAACAATAGGCCGTTAGTGGGTAAATTTGGGGGGAGTCAAAAGTTAAGTGGATTTTTGACTCTACGGGGGTTTGGAGCTCTAACCCCCATGGTGTTCAAGATTCGACTATATAACTAATGAGAGAAGAATACTCAAATAAGGCTCTGAGTTAGACAAGGCTGATTAATGGCCTTCGGGGCGATAATCTTCTACTGGACAAAAGTCCTTGTAATTTGCCAATCTTCTACAAATTCTATCTCACAGCTCAGAGTGCAGGCCCCAGTCAACAGTTTAGTGAGTGTATGCTGGTACACCCCCCAAGGGATCAGAATCCCTACACAAGGCTCTGCTAGGACATTTAAAGGACAGTCATCCCTTTTACCTTATTTCCATGTTTGGGAGGTTTTTTGAGACAGCTTCCCCTGTGCTCCACAGTCACCGAGTGGCTCTCTCAGACACGGGGCCCCCTGCATCGTGGCCAGCAATCCCACAGTGGCCAGTCAGTTGGTCTTCACTGTCTGGGCACACTCCACCCTTGTTCCCTGGAGCCTTTTGCTATGACAGGGAAGCATTTTGTGCACAGTTCTCAATTTTGTGGTTTTTTTAAATAATAAATTTATTTTTTATTGGTGTTCAATTTGCCAACATACAGAATAACACCCAGTGCTCATCCTGTCAAGTGCCCCCCTAGTTCTCAATTTTGAAGCAATTTCTTGAGATGCACAGCAAAGTTTCAAGAGCAGTACATAGGATTTTCATACACACTTAAGTTCCTGTTTCAACATTTAATACACTTGCTTTATTATATATCTGCATATGTGTGTGTATAAAGTATGGGTATATATCATCTTTAAATATATTTTTTTCTGAATCATTTGAGAATAAGTTGCAGTATGGATTTTATGCATATTTAACTAATTGTTAATATCAATAGCATCCTTTATAATAAAAACAAATTCAAGCCCAACATCCAAGTAAGGACCACATATGTCTCTTTGGTCTCCTTAAACCTGGAATGATCACTAGTCTTTGCCTTTCATAACCTTTCATGACCTTGGCATTCTTAAAGTGTAAAGGCCAGTTGTTTTGTTCAACTTTCTTTATTTTGTCTTTTTGGTGGCTGTCAGATTTGTCTCCTGTACAGTTACTAGTTCCATCTTTTGATCAATAAATACTTTATGAGGAGAGTCTTTGATATGTGGATACCCTACCTACACTTTGCCATAGTTTCATCCACTAGTTTTTTCATCCTTTCATTTTTGCTTGGATTAATTATGCTGGGGATTTTGCCAAATGGTGCATCTCTGGCTCTACCATTTCTTCTACATTTATTTGGGAAAAAAAAATCTACTACAAGGAAGAAATAATCTCTCCTGTTTGTTTATTCACTTATTTATGTCAATATGAACTCATAAAATCCAATTTTACACAGTAGGTTTGAATCTGTTGCTTTCGGGGTTGACTTTGACCTGCACACTGTCCCAGATATGGCCAGAAGGAGCCCCTTCAAGCTGATTTTCGTGACTTTCTGACATATCCCCACAGGTCTTTGAATACCAGCTTACTTTTTGGTATAAGAACACATTCTAGGTTCATCTGCAGACTCTCACTCCCAGCTCTGCAGTTGGGCATTTCTCAAGCATCCTGACTCCTTTTGGTCGAGAACAGCATTTATAAGTCAAGATCTGGAGCTAGGTGTGCAGACCATGGTATTGATATATTGATACATCTCTATGGACAGACAGATGCACATATGCTACACACATATGTATAACTTTGTCAATATCTACAAAACCATGAGTTCACAGTGATACCTCCAATTCCAGCTCAATGCCCCAGGGATTAGTCTAGTTTTCCCTTGGTGGGGAAACCTTATAATATTTATGTCCCATTTTTCTCCATCTATCCTCTGGATTCCATACCCTGTCACCTTCTTTTTTAAAAAGATTTTATTTATTTATTTGAGAGATGGAGTGAAAGAGAGAGAAAGAGAGAGTGAATGAGTATGAGTAGGGGGAGGAGTAGAGGGAGGCAGAGGGACGGAGGAAGCAGCAGACCTTTGCTGAGCAGGGAGCCCCACTTGGGGCTCAATCCCACCCTGAGATCATGTTCTGTGGTGAAGGCAGAGGCTCACCGACTGAGCCACCAAGGTGCTCCTGGTTTTTTATTTTGTTTTAATTACATGCTTGTAATTTTAAAATGCAGACATTTGATGGACAGCTAAACAAATGAACAAGCGTATGAATTCCCTTGTGGCTGGTCAGTATCCCAGGACAGGTGGCCGATGCTCATGGGCTCTCTGCGTCTTCCCAGGGGCCATGAGCCACGGGGATGGAATGGCAGACCCCAGCGTGCTGGCTGTGTTCCAGGACTATGTCAAACTGATGCCACTGGTGGCAGAAGCGAATCAAATGGGCGAAGAGCTGGAGAAGGTGGGAGCTAGGAGACAGTACGGCACCAGGTCCAGAAAGGGCCTTGGGGAACAGGGTCCACGGACCCTCACACCACTCCCCCCAGCCAGCTTCGTGGTGTGGATGGGGACAGGGGGACCTGGGGAGGTCGGGACCCAGGGCCCCCACTGGGAGCCATGACAGACCCCAGGTCAACACCCAGGCCTCGCCAGCCCCAGCGTCACCTCTGGCCGCCACGGCCACCTAGGACCCCGGACCAGGACTCGCTTGCACACACCCCATCCCAGATAATCCTTTGGAGCTACTATTCTGGGCCCAGCACCCCAAGGCCCTCTATGCCTGAGTGGGGGTCGGCCCCCTGGTGCCCTGGGGTGCCAATCCTCAGACACTTGGGGAGCATCAGAGAAAGAGGGGGATGTGGCGGGGATGGTGCGACTGATACCTCAGGGTGACCTGGTGCAATGTGTTTCTCTTACCAGGGACTCAGAATGGAACTGAAGGTGAAGAATCTAGCATCATCCGACTCCAGAGGTTACGACCTACAGAAAGAGGTCATGGTGAAGGTGACAAACCAGAGGACTCAGGAGGTGAGCGCACCTTTGGGGACAGACAGAGCTTCTGTGGTGCTCTCCCAGAGATAGGGTCGGTGCAGCCCTGACAGCCTGCAGACGCCCAGTGAAGGGGCACAGTGTGTTCCAAGTGGGGCTGGGACCCTGGGGACATGAGACCCCTTCCTCTGTGTCCTCCTGGGCCTCTCCCCACACAGCACCGAGCCCCAGGATCCTTCCCCACCACCTGCACTGACCATTCCTGTCTGTTTTTAACATGACTTGAAGCCTTGAGTCCAGAAGGGAGCCTGAGAGTTTATCCAGCAGACGGTGGTGTCTGTGACAGACAGAGAGACAGACAGTGAGACAGAGAGACAGTGAGACAGAGAGAGACAGAGAGACCTGCCAATGTGGAGCAATGAGAAGATCTGCACTCTTGTTAAGATTCCAGAAAAGGGGGCAGCCTGGGTGGCTCAGTGGTTTAGTGCCACCTTCAGCCCAGGGCATGACCCTGGAGACCTGGGATCAAGTCCCATGTCGGACTCCCTGCATGGAGCCTGCTTATGTCTCTGCCTCTCTCTGTGTGTCTCTCATGAATAAATAAAATCTATAAAAAAGAAGAAGAAGAAGAAGAAGAAGAAGAAGAAGAAGAAGAAGAAGAAGAAGAAGAAGAAGAAGATTCCAGAAAAGGCCTTGGTCGATCCATAACCACATTGACCCATTCCCAGGCTCACTGTCAGGAACGTCCCCTTGGGAACCTAAAACCCCTTTCTTTTCCCCTCTAACAGGAAAGACTGGGGCTCTCTTCTGGCGTCCCCCCCATATTTTTGCCTTCGGAGCCACACTCAGCCCTCTGGCCCCAACCTGAAGCTCACTCCTTAGCCTGTCCTCTGAGAGCCCCTACTTCTCAGGCGGCCTCGGGGTGTGCTGCTGCCTCCCCAGTCCACTGCTGAAGGGGACCACATGTCCCTGGGTGATCTGCTCTACCGAGTGACACACCAACACTTGTCTGAGCATCACCCTTCTGCTCATTCCCCCGAAGTCACCAAAATCTTCTTAAAATTGTGAAATAACCTGAAAGAACTAGAACTAGATGGAAGAACTAGAAATGGCAAGGTCCACACTCAGCCTCGGTGCATTGGCTTTCTGCCTGGTGCTGGGACCCCAAGGTCATGGCTCGAATTTAACTGGTCCCTAGGCTGCAAGGCCTCAGGAGCAACCCTGAGTGAGGCCAGTTGGGGGCCCCAACTTCTGAGACAGTTTCCTGTTCCTTTCTGTGTCTTTCCCTGGCCAGTCCCTTCATGTCACACAGCCTGGGGGCTTCAGACAACAGCCCTGTACTTGTCACAGCTCTGGAGGCCGACAGCCTGAGACCACCAGGTAGATGCGTCTACCTTTGGTGAGGGCTGGCTGTGCGGGCCACAGTGGACACCTTCTCACTGAGTCCTCACATGACCTTAGGGGCCTCAGAAGGGCACTAACTCCATTCCAGGGCCTCCACCCACATGACCCACTCACCTCCCATAGGCCCTCCCTCCTCCACCATAGCACTGGGAGACAGAACACTCAGCCCAGAGCAACGGGCCTGATGCCAGCTCACCATACACCCCAGTGCAGCTGTCAGGGCTCTCGGGGTGAGACCCCCACCCTGGGAGTCAACCTGACGTCTGTGCCATGTCGCATGAGGCCTTCAGACAAGCTGAAGCCTCAAGGTGTCTGTGATTGTGACGTTGTGTTTGTGTTTTCTGGAAGATTCCATGAGGACAGACAACTTTGGTGATCCCATGTTCCACATGCCTCTTTGGAGCCATGTACTCCCGCCCTGAGTTTGGCTTAGCAGTTTCCTACTGTCTTGACAGACGTTGTTTTAAGGAGATCTTTAATTTTTTTTTAATTTTTTAATTTATTTTATGATAGTCACACAGAGAGAGAGAAAGAGGCAGAGACATAGGCAGAGGGAGAAGCAGGCTCCATGTACCGGGAGCCCGATGTGGGATTCGATCCAGGGTCTCCAGGATCGCGCCCTGGGCCAAAGGCAGGCGCCAAACCGCTGTGCCACCCAGGGATCCCGAGATCTTTAATTTTTAAAAACTGTTTTCAATGTGATTCTGTGTTTCCCTGTTGACTGTTTATCATGGTTTAAGGGGACTTAGATTTTATTCAGCCTTTTCTGAGATCAGCAGGAAGGTTCCCTCAACCACACAGGCTGCCACGGTCAGTGTTTTCACTTCTGATGGTTAAGCAAGTCCTGTGGGAGAGCTTGGCCTGCTCCTGAGCAAACCGCGCCAGGCTCTCCTACAAGGGACTCTGTGCTGATTTTACAGTGATTCCGTTCTTATTTCTCGTTTCTCCTCAGAGGTAAATCTTACTGATCTGTCATCTTCGAGGCTGTCCATTTTTCCCTTTTAAAAGTTTCAGTGACCTTTCCCCAGAAGAAGTGACCCCTTCCCTGGGAGCTGCTCGCAGTGCTGGCCGTAACCGGCCCATTCTGGGAACACTGGCGTGGTCTGAGGGCCTGCCAGCAGCCTGGGGCAGGGCGGCAGCGTGTGTAGACACACTCAGCACCTTTTTGGTGGTTGGTCTTGCAAACGTTGACTGCAGACTGTGTAGACTGTGAATGTCACCGGGAGAGGATGGGACCCACAGGCTGCTTCGTGTGACCATCATCACACGTCACTGACAATTTGGGAGCCAGCCAGGTCCCTGGGAGGACAGGGAGCTTTTCTACACTGGAAATGCCACCCATACTGACTTTTCAGCAGCATCAGTGCAAAAGCTTCTAGCCAGGGAGTCTGTGCCTGGCCCCGCAGGCCCCCCTGGGGTGAAGGGTCAGTACAGGGTCCCCTGCCTGTCTCTGCCTGGGGGAGGGGGGTCAGCACAGGCCCCCCCACCGGCCCGCAGAGCCCGCCTGCCCTGTCCCGGGGCCCCCGTCTGCTCTCTTGGGGAAGGATGCATGGGGCTGATGATCTGGCTGCCCACAGTCCTGGCCCCACGGCCTAAAGGTCTTTGAAAGGCCCACTCCCTGGAGCTCCTGCCGGGCTCGCCAGCCATAGCATTGCCACAGCCAGGCTCGCGTGGACTCTCGGATCACCGTGCTGCACTTCGCTGTCCTGGAGGCAGAAAAGGGAAGAAAGAAGTCTTTTTAGTCCAGAGGATGTTCCTTTTTCTGAGGACACAGAACACTCACAGAGAGAATGATGTATCTGTTGGTTTCTGGGGTTGTTTGAAGCTGTTCAGAGAAGGAGTTACTCATTCTACATGGTAACCACTTCGGATATGACGTTTATGGTCTAGAACTTTCCATCTCACTTGCATTCTCCCCCCCCCCCACACACACACAGCTTATGCTTATGTTCTCTAGCTCAGCAGCCTCAGGGAGGGGACAGCCCGTGGCAGGCTCTGGGGGGCGGGGGGGCTAGGGGTGGGGGAGCTCACATGTCCATCACCTCACAGCTCTGCCGCCTACAGGCCCAGCCCAGGCCTCCCTGCACCAAAAGCAAGGGGCCCACAGAGCCATTTTGCTTTCCGGAGGCTTGAGGGCCCATCTGCTTCCCAGGCTCTTTCCCCACTTTCCCGGGCGTACGGCCATCACACGCCATCTCCCAAGTCAGCCACCGGGCATCTCCCGGACCGGCTTCGGCCACTGTCTCCCCGACCTTGTCTGCTGCCTCCTCTTCCGCGTGATTACTCTGGGCTCCGGGGTTAACCTCAGCAAACCTCCCTGCTTCATCAGCTCATTAGCAAACGAGGCGGCCGCAACCTCAGTGCGTGCCAGGTGCCGCAGAGCGGGCGGCAGACACGTCGGGCTGGTGCCCATGGACCGCGGGCCTCGCTGGCGCTGCCCGAGGGCCCTGCTGGGCCGCCGTGGCCATGTGCCCGGGGTGCTGCGCTAGGCGGCAGGCCAAGAGTGAATGTGGACAGAGACAGGGGGTCAGACCCTGGTGACCCGCCTTTGTGTTTCCAGGTGTGGATTTGGTCAAAAGCCAAGTTTATCAACAGGAAGTTCCTGATGGAGGAACTCTACCAGCGCTTTCTAGAAGGGGAGGACAGCCACGTGGCCCAGGAAGACGACCCTTTCTGGGACCCCGTCGAGGCCGTGCACCTGGGCTCGGCTCACGTCTGGCTCCAGCCGCTGGCCTATTGCATGAAACTCGAGGAGCAGGTGGAGTTCCTGAGCTGCGACGGGACGGAGGAGGCTATGCTGCACATCCACGTGACGCCCTGCTCCCCGGCGGGACAGTGGGTGTCCCCTTCTCCTCTGGCCTGGTCCCGGGCTCATAGGGTGCCTGAGTTCCCCCGGAGGAGGTGGTCAGCTGGTCATTCAGTAACCATTTGGCTTCATCAAACGATTTTTGCCATGGCGACCAAGCCGGCCAACCTGGAATCTTCCAGAGCCTTGTGAAGAGGCCCTGGAGCCAGATGCAGAAAGCTCATTTCCCAGTTCATCCTTTCTCCATCCTGGGTATAGGCTTCGGTCATTTTTTTGGTTCCTTTTCTCAAGTAAGACACTGAGGTGCCTTTGTTCCAGACCTGGCCTCATTCTCTATGCTTATCTGACCTTCTGTGGGGACGGGCTTTGCTTTATCTCTGCAGTGTTGCCTCTCAACCTCCTTCCAGGGAGCCTCTTCTGTTTCTCTTTTCAGGCCGTAGGCAGTTTGGGCAGTTTCCACAAAAGCCCAAATCTCTTAGCAATACGAAGCGAAGAGGCAGGTGGCAGGGGCTCTGGTCTGGAGGCTCAGTTCCCTCAGGCGCCCACGGCTGCCATTTTGTCTTTCTGAAGAAGCAACAGGCACAGGAAGGGGGCAAGGGGACTGCGAGGTCCTGAGCCCCGGGGACCAAGCTGACCATTGACCCGCCATCTTGGTGGGGATTCTACGAAGCCTTCTGATCACTGGGCCACCTCGGGCTTCTGGGCTGTGGGTGGTTGATCTCTTGCTGCCAATCAGGTGGCATCCTGGTTTATAGGCTTTGTCTGTGGGAGCTTGATGTGAGGTTGGTGTGAGATGACCGCTGTTGGAAAGTGCTCCAAATTGGTTTGCGAACTTGTAGGCCTGGAGTTGACTCTGGACTGTGAAGAGGTCGCCAAGGAAGATGGCGGCCAGCTGGGTCTCCCTGGGTGACAGCCCCTCTCTCCCACTGGGCACCTACCTGGGTCTCCAATGCTAGCCCATTTATTGTACAAAGTGGTTATATCACTCTCTCCTTCTCGAGAGGGTTATGAGCTCCTTGAATGTTTCTTGAATGAATGAATTCTGCAGCTGGTAACACCCCCTGTCTTTCCTTCAGGGAGGGTGGCCATCTCTTGAGGAGTTCTCAATAACCGCCTATGACAACACAATGCTAACCTCCCACGGCCCATGTTCTCCTCTGTTTGCAGAGCATGCAGTGAGGAGGATGTGGTTATTGACACTGCGGAGTTGCTGGGCAAGAGGATGGATTTCCAGATTGGCCTTGTGCGGTGCCTTGGCATCAAGTGGCTCAAGGAAGGCGCGGAGAGGGGCATTCAGATGGGGTACCAGCCTGCCCCACTGAACTGTGTGCACACACCACACCACCCCCTGGGCCCTGGTGGGAGGAAGTCTTTCCTCAAGTATCAAAAACGAGCTTATTATGAAATTTTCTTAATTTTCCCTTCTTGCTCAACCCCGAAATGAGTATTTTCCCTTCTGTTTAACGGAGATCCCACATCCCTATGTGTTGCTGGGCTGTAAGCCGTGTGTGCTGATCTTAGAAGAGTGGTTGATGCAGTAACCAGAAATTTTAATGACCTGATGGAATATTCAGTAAAGCTTATTATCTAAATGGAATAGGTTTTTCTGAGTTTGAAACAAAGGTACTGTATCACAATATGGCAAAAGCACCGGATAGGCTTAATTGGGCTAAAGAGATTTGAAGGATAAATCGATAAAGGAAGCTTTGAAGGCCAGAAGTCAAACCACCACCTCACGTGGAAAATTGACAGTTTTAGATTATGGAAGTAGAAAGTATCTATCAAAGCCCATCTCCTTTTTGTTAGACGTGTAATACTGTCCATGTAGTGATGCTACTTGTGGGCTGTGGCTGAGATGCTGGGGCGGTGCTCACGAGAAGCAATCACAGGTCATCCTGCATCAACAGACCAACGCCGGCCATCCTTCTCTGGCTCATCTGATCCTTTTCCTCATAAATGTGTCCCTTCTGGTTTTAAATCGTGTTTTATGTCCTTTTCTCAGTTACAGAATGTATGATCTTTCAAGCACTTTCTATACCAAGCCTGTGTGGAAAACTGTGAATCCCCAAATAGAAGAAACAGTCCAATTTACAGCCTTAAATGCATCTCAGGACTTTCTGAATTATTTACAAACAAATGCTCTCATTGTCGATTTATGGGGTCTTCAAGGTACCCTGGTTACTTCCCCTTTTGTACAATGCACTCCACTCAGCTAGCATGTCACGGTATCTAGGGCTGCTGAGGGAGGGAGGAAGTGGGAGGGGTCAGGGGGTCCTAACAGCCATGAGCCATCTTCCCAGGTCCCTGGGCTCTTGTCCACAGGTGACTATAGGGTTTACATCTCTTCACACCACAATGGGGCCAGATAGTGGTGAGGTTCTTTCCTTGATGATGTCTCCCTCACATTGCAGAAGGCTGTGCCCAACTGAGCTGCTCTCAGCCAGACCTCATGGTCACAAGTGAAGGCCATGTCATGGTGGACACCAAGAAAATTTCCGCATTGGTGGATACAGGACAGGTGTGCACATTTATATAGCCTTCAAATAGACATGGCAAAGGACCAAGAAATCCCAGGTGATAGCTGCTTAGGGATCATTGATGTGCCTTCCCTAAACAAGCGTTTTCTTGATTTTCTCCCGTGTTCTTGGCGGAGCTTACACCCTGTTCACCTCCCCACCCCATATCTAGTTGTCTCCCAGTAGTAAAAATTGCCAGTCCCAAAGGGTATGCAAATAATCCAGCAAAAGGTAAACGGACATGTGTTTTGTAGACCACTTCAGATCAGACTTCAGAACTTTATATGAAGTTGTTCAAGTTAGAACAGGAGACAGAACAGCTCCGGAACGTGAACAGAGCCTTGAGAGAGGAGAATGTGCTTCTCAGACAAGCACTTGAGAAAATTGGTTCTCCCCAGCAAGGTGAGAGGCAGCCCACGTCTTGGTGGTTTACTTTTTCTTTAAACTCCTACATCTGAAATGTGTGTTTGTATTTCTGAGAAACTTCCTTTTTAATGAGTTGATCTAGATCTTGTTTCATAAAAATTAAAAAAATAAAAAAAAATTCAGGGGCACCTGGATGGCTCAGTGGTTGAGTGTCTGCCTTCAGCTCAGGGCATGAGCCCAGGGTCTAGGGATTGAGTCCCGCATCGGTCTCCCCGCAGGGAGCCTGCTTCTCCCTCCGCCTGTGTCTCTGCCTCTCTCTGTGTGTCTCTCATGAATAAATAAATAAAATCTTTAAAAAAAAAAATGGAGACTTTTTTCCTCCCCCTTCTGCCTGGTAAGATTTCTTTTGGAGGCATCTCAATGGGTGCTTAATGCTGATGTAGAACACTGCCAAAATAAACACACAGAGGCTTGGAGGAGCAGAGGATTAAATACATATTATCTTTTCTCACTACCGCAGCACATGAGCCTTCAGATGCCCTGAAGGTAACTCAGAGGACAGCACACCTGCTGGCAGCCAGAGCCAAGAATGACAGGCCGGCTCCGCCAGCAGCCAGCTCCGACAGGGAGTTGACCGATGCTCTCAAGATCTTCTACCAAAGCATGAACACGGCAAGAGGACGGTTTCTCAGACTGAGACATTATAAACCTCCTGTAAGTAACCAGAATCTTGCAAGCAAAAGGAATCTCTCTCCATTAAACTTAGGCATTTGAGGCACCTGCATCTCTTGAGCTTGGGGAGGTGTGTGTGTTTCAGCAAAAGAGTGGGCGGAGGCCTGAGCAGTATGTCCCCTGCTCTCTTGCGCATCCGTCTTTGCTTTTGCTTTTTTAGTCAAATAAACATCTGGCTGGTTCCCGATATGGCCATTCATTTACTTTGTGATTTACAGAGTATCCCAGAAGTGCAAATTTGGTTTATTGTTATAAACCAAGTAAGATACTTCAGATTCAGAAAACGTGTGTGATAAAATTCAGCATATATATATATTTTTTAAAGATTTTATTTATTTGAGAGAGAGAGATCACAAGTGAGGGGAAGGGCAGAGAGAGAAGCATACTCCTCGCTGAGCAGCAAGTCCGACACGGGACCAGATCCCAACACCCTGGGATCATGACCTGAGCCGAAGGCAGACACCAACTAAACCACCCAGGCGCCCCAAAATTCAGCATCTTACCATGATAAAGATTCTTAGCATATTAGGAATACAATGTGCATTCCTTACTTTGATAAAGGCAATCTTAAACTCAGATTAAGCACGATGCTTCATGGCAAATCACCGAATGCTTTTCCTTTCCGTCAGGAAAAAGTGAGAGATGCCAGCAAATTTTATTGCTGTTTGCCATTGTCTTTGAGGCTCTAGCCAGTTCAGCAAGGCAAAAAATACAAAGTATAAAGATTGAAAAGGGGAAAAAATCCCAGTAGCAATAGCACATATTTATACAGTATTTATTGAATGCTTTACCATTACTAACTCAATTCTTTTTTTCTTTTTTTTCTTTTTCTAAATGTGAAATGATTTTATTTTTTTTAATAAATTAATTTTTATTGGTGTTCAATTTACCACCATACAGAATAACACCCAGTGCTCATCCCGTCAAGTGTCCCCCTCAGTGCCCGTCACCCATTTCTACAACAACCCGATGCGGTAGGAACTATTAGCCTTATCTTGCAGTTCATGGCCTAAGGCACAAGAGGGGTAAGTAACCTGTGTGAGGACACATGCCTGGTTAAGCAGCAGGCCCAACCTCCAAACCCAGCAAGGTCACTCCACAGTCTATACCACTCCATGCTGCCTCTGTTTTTATTCCCAGAGGACATGTTAATGCAAATTAAAAATTCAGAAGAATCTATAAAAGAATCACAAAGTTGCTGAAAAATCAACACTTAAAAATTAACTGCATTTGAATATAACAGTATCAAATAGTACTGCTTCGTATAAAAGATGCCATTTATAATTGTATCAAATAAAGTACTTAGGCCTACAACTACCATAAAACTATGGACTTCTATGGAGGGAATTTAAAAACTTGCCTGAGGGATGTTGAAGAAGATATAAATAAAGAGCAAACCATGCCATGTCTCCCTGGTTTGGAAGATTAGCTTTTACAAATCTTGTCAAGTCTCTCTGAGATTCAGTGTAATCCCAAAGAAATGTAATGAGATCTTGTTTTTCCCCTTTTCAATCTTTATACTTTGTATTTCTTGCCTTGCTGAACTGGCTAGAGCCTCATGGACAATGGCAAACAGAAATAAAATTTGCTGGCATCTCTCACTTTTTCCTGACTGAAGCAACAGAAACAAGCTCATGCTCTGCTGGAAAGAGTGGAAGTTGGAACCACCACTTGTAACATTTTTTTGCCATTTACCTAATAAACGTAGAAGATGTGCCTACTCCCGAAGCCTGCACCCTCCTCCAGAGAGTCAGCTGGTTCTGCAGAGGATTCAGCCCTTCACGCCCTGAAGCAGAGGTTGTCAAAGTGTGGTCCCCGGCCAGCAGCCTCAGAATCATCAGTGGTTTTAGAAATACAAACCCTCCTAAACCAGACCTGTGGTGTGAGGCCCATTAATCTGTCCCCTAACGAGCCCCCCAGGTGGACTCTGCCTTAAACTGAAGTTTGAGAACCACCTTGCTAGGGATTCAATGTATATAATGGATTCATTTCTCTCCTATGTGTCTAGAATAGCCCTTGTTATATACCATTCTTGAAAGAATTGAGAAATAGTCACTCAGATAATTTCCTGTCCTGTGGTTCAATGAGGAAGGGGCTGAAAAACTGCAGAAACCCATGCCTATATATGCAGTGGCTGCTGCTCTTAACAACACCCTCTTTAGTACCCCAAACTGGAAATGTCCCAGTGCACACCCACCCCCATACTGTTGTGCCCAAGATTGCGAATCCGAATCCGAGAAACCACTGAGGAGCTGACACCGATGCAAACACACGAGGGTTTATTTACAAGCTTGAGCTTGGGTCCAAGTATACCCGACACAGCGGAGCTGGGACTTGGACCCCGAGACTAAGAGGCGTAGCAACTTTATAGGGGCCAGTGGCCAATGGGATACACAGAAAGTTGCACAGTCATGTGGGTCCACACGCAGGTGGCCGATTGAATTACATCTTACCCTATAGTATCCATTTGAGCTGGCCTATTACTTTGGTCAATTTTGGCAGGCACAAGGCAGAGTTACATTGTTATGAGCCGATTTCCAATTAGGGTGTGCCCAGCGGCTTGACTAGGGTGGGACAGCGCCTTAAGCAATAAGCAGGTCATGTGGGGGTCATACAGGAGGTGGCGGGTGCAGCACAAAATGGAGTTAGTCCTGCTCTGCTTGTCCAGGGGTAGGGGATTTTTGTTAAATTTCCTGGGTCCCACAATACTGAGGAACACCAGAGTGCTGTGAAAACGAGCCCTAGCCACGTGCAACACGGTGAGTCTCAGCACAGACCGTGCTGACTTGCAAGTCACAGCAGATACCATCCAATGGGACTCCATAAATGGTCAGGAAACAGGCAGGAGACTGTCTAGGGCTGCATTCCAGGTAGCAAGGCAATGATTATCCCATGAGTCAGGCCTCCCCGCGGGGAGAGAGAGAGGGAGTGACCAGGAGGGGCTGGAGACGCAGAGCTCTTTCTGGAGCAGGTGTATTCACTCTAACACATTACCAAGTACTGGTTTGTGTGTTTATGTCACAACAAAAGAAAAACTGGTTAGGCGAAAGACTATAAACAAAGCTCAAAATAAGCCACAGCCTGTTTGTATTATTTATCATCAATACTACATCAAAGAGTAGTATTTAGAATATATAAGCAACGCTTTTAAGAGAAAGACATAGAAAACGAATTGGGAAAAAAATGACCAGGGTACCTGAGTGGCCATTTGGTTAGTGATGCAGATGCGCCAGGCCCCGCAGGGACAGGCTGGGTGCTGGCCGTCACCCTCGAAACTTGCTCCCCTGGGGTGGGGGACACAGCAGTCCCCCTGCCCTACCCATGGAGTATCCCCACCCAACCCAGTCCGTGCCAGACCTCAGAACTTCAACAGTCGGAGGAATGTAGGTCATCCCAAGCCAAAAAGCCCACATTTGCTCCCGTGTCTCCCTGACAGCAACCACCTGAGGCTGACGGTGCCAGAGGACTCACCGCCTCTGCTGGCAGCTCAGCATAACACACCAGCCCCAGGCACCATCCTGGGCACCCTGCTCACACCTGCACTTTTCACTCCACTGATGGGATGCGATGGGCGCTTTCTCCCTTTGCTTTATTTTCAGGAAGATGACAGGATGCTCCGACCGTTTGTATACCAACAGTCACAGAGGCTGAGGGATGTTGGGGAGCTGCTCGATCGCAGCTTGCAGAGACTGAGAAGCGATGTTGCTCGTATAGCAAAGGAGAAGAGAGCGTGCCTGCTGCATCCCCAGCAGCATCCACAGGCCGACGGGTTGCCCCAGGTTTGCGAGGAGCGCGCATAGCTCTGAGCTTGATGAACTTGGCCACCAGCCAAGCTGTGCGCACCACGCACCCAGCCCATTCCTCACATTGTTTCTGTTCTGCAATTTGGTTTAAAGTTATGTGAAAATGAATTCACATCTGGAGTGAAGGTGGGCCTGGCAGTGGGAGGCCAGCCCTCCGGGTGTTGAGACCTGTCTGTCTGGGGCTAAATCCCTCTAATCGGTCACTTCCCAGCTGCAGTTTGAGGCAAATGCCTTCCCCTTGCTTCCCCTTATTACAGGGACATGAGAATAGTACCAAGTGCAGATGGTGAGTGAATGTAAACCTTAGAACAGAGCCTGGCACACTGAAGCCACTGACAAGCATTGATATTCAACAGTTTGAAAGTTCAAATAAAGCTGTTTTGAAAAATTTGCTGTCAGACCTAGAGACAAATGTTATTTTACCCCTCATTTTGTATCCTTGTTCCAGACAAATTGGATCTTCTACCTCTACTTCCTCTGCTTTCCTAAGCTTATCTGGAAACCATGGGGAGCGGGGGAGCAGCGGCAGTGGGGCCTGTACGGTGCGGGCCACGTGGCAGAGGCGGAGGCTGCCAATGCAATCTGCTGGCAATTGGGCTTGGGTGATCCAGGTTCCAGGGAGAACGGACGGGTCTCCGCTGAGGGCAGACGGGCACTGGGTGCTCGGGGGAAAGGCTGTGGGGAGCCTGCCAGTGACGGCAGGGGCCCCACGAGCAATTCTGTGTGCTGGGCTCTAGACTACGTGCTAAACATAGTAGCTCATTCATGACAATTCTCTGAGTCTGGCACAATCATCTCCCCCATTTTGAGGCTTTAAACATTAAATCAACAAGGCCTGCCCAGGCATCTGTGAGCGAGCACTGGGCTGACTGAAGGTGCCATTCCTGATGGCAACAGCTGCTGCAGAACGGCACCAGGCAGAAGCATAAGAACCCAGGAAGGAGGAAAAAGAGGTAACAACCCCAGTCCTTGTTCCCTGGAGTATGAAGTTAGGGAGATCAAACAGGAGAAACCTGAAACTCTGCTGGCAGGACTGTCTAGCAATGGCTTCCAAAAGGAGTCTCCCTAGGAAGGCAGGAATCTGGGCTGGTCATTTCTGCATAATAACAGGACCCAAGGCTTCTCAGAGAGGCTTCAGTTCTATCTGCAGCTCAGGTTCAGGACTAGTGTACATGCAACTAAAGAATAACTGGAAAGCTTACAGCCTACAGGTGGAGCTCCACACGGTGATGGCAGCAGGAACCAGGGTCTGGAAAGCCTGTCAGTGAGGCAAAGCAGCTGTGAGGCCACAGGAAGATGGGAAGGGTTCTTCTACCTCCTGGGCTGAGCCTCAAAGTTCTTTAACCATCTGCAGAAATAACTGCAGAAGTAATATACTTTCTGCAAAAAAGCAGCTTGAGGAGCCCTGGGGGTTAAAAAGAAATCTGGATGAGACACACCTGTATCTCAAGCTGGAGGAAGGTCACACAGGTTCTATGTACATCAGTGTCCATGTCAGAGCCAGACACAACACACGCCACCAAGCTGGGAAGAACACAACCGGCAGCCTCACCCAGAGGCTCCCAGGGCACATCTGAACCACAGATTCCTCAGCTCCAACCTGCAGACCTCCCGCCCGCAAGCTGCGGGGGCCACTGGGGAGCCCCACTGTCGTGTCAGAATTCTGTCCCGGGGCTGGTCATGGCCTCTGTTGCTCCTGAACACCTTCCGGATTTTAGAGAGGATAAAAACTTTTCTACCAGCCCACCAATTAGGACCCAACCCAGGCCAGGGCAGAGGATAGAGCATACACTACAAATCTCCCTCTTCAAGTTAGACAGCCTCTGCTGATAGCCTCAGGCAGCACAGGAGGCTCCCTCCAGACAAATCATGTTCTTATCTGTGCCACGCTTCTCAATGCAGAATAGAAATTTCATAGAGGCAGTGGCTGTGTCCTCTTTATGTAGCAAATGGCACAGAACACTGTATGTGTTTATCATATGCTTATTACCAAAGGAAAAAGTCCTTTGCCTTATTTTAGGGCTTCAGGGGAAAACCTAATTAAAATACAAAAAATAAATTAAAGAAATTCACTTCTGGTCAGGCAATGAAATGAACAGAAACCTACCAGCTCTATCTTTGAAACCAATCACAGGTACAGAACCAGAGAAAACAAATGACAGGCCCAGTTATGAGCAGTACACAGGTCAGACCCCTACCTCAAATACCTAGGGCAGGTCCAAACACAAAGCCACTGTTCAACTGACAATCCTTTATTATTCAACTTAGGTAACAGTCAAAAAATCAGTGTAGATGGGTGAAAAACTAAGCTAAAATAAAAATTAAAAATGTAGTTTCATTTGGCAAAGGCCCAAACAGTATGTAGAGAAATTCATCTGAAGGTGAGATCCCGTTCAACATCTAGCCAAGGGGAGCAGCAGTCCCTGCCTCCATGAACACCAGCCTGTGGGCCTCGTCTGCAGCCTGTCGGCAGCATGGAGAGAGGCACCCACACCACCTCTGGTCTGTCAGTTCACTTAGAGGAACTGAGCATGAATTCTCCAATGAAAAAGTCAGTATTAGTTCTCTCACAGCAGTAAAATCACAAAGCCAGCTAAGATTTGAAATTTAGGGTAAGTGAGCACAATTTCCTGCTTTTAATGTGTATATATTTTAGATTTGACAATCTTTTTTACATACAGTCAGACAGGATATAGAAGAATTTAAAATTTTACATTAAAAAAAAGCCATTAATTCATGCATTCTATGCCTTCAGTTAATTCTTCAAATGTTTAGACTTCAGAGCTGCTAATGACACTAAATTCAATGCCACGTTGGTTGAGTCTGTCAATCAACTTTGTTCTGCAGAAGGCTGCTCCAGGTGTGAAGACCCCGCCCCTGTAAGACAAGAACAAGATAAAAACAGTGCACAAAGCCATCTCTGGCCCTCTTCTGTTGTAGTGTCATTAGCTGGAGGCCTAGCACTCATGAAACCATCAGCACTCATGAAAACCTTCACTCCACCATAAACTAGTTTGGGTTCCATTCTTAAACTCAGCCAAATGAGCAAGGCGCCATAACTCAGGAAGAAACTAGCAGCCCAGCAAACTATCTCGATGGGTTCCACTTCTAGTGAGACTGCCCCCATGATACTGCTGTGTGTTTGAGGGGACACAAGGGTCATCGATGCTGCTATTGATAAAGTCAGTGCTTGGACTTGAGAGGATAAAAAAGGACCTGGGTGAAATCATCTTTGGCAACAGATTATTATAAGAGCATAAAGAAGACTTAAACTGGATGAAAAAGAAGTTTCTTTAAACAGAATGACTAAAAAAAAAATTTAAAAATAAAAAATTAAAAAATAAACAGAATGACATTTTATAAAATGCTAATAAATGCTTTCAAATGGTACAGTTGACTCTTGAACAACATGGGATTGAACTGTGTGGGTCCACTTACATGTGATTTTTTACCATACAGCACTATAAATGTATTTTCTCTCACGATTTTAACATTTTCTTCTTCCTAGTTTACTTTGTTACAAAATTATAGTATATAATATATATGTCAACAACATATGTGGGTTTTTGACTATGTAGGGGGTCAACTGTAGAATTATTTGAAAAACTTTAATTAGGATTCACTTGATACCATTTTTATGTTTATTAACTTCATACTGTTCTAGATCCTATCTATATTTATTTGTTCCTAAGCCTGCAGGTCCAAGACTCATTTGTAAAGTTGGCCTACTTTTACAGTAGCGGCTACATGCTCCAGTAACAGAGTCTACTTGATAAACATCTAGCCAAGACGCCATGAATCAATGCACACTTGCCCTCTGGGCTCCCCACTGCCAGCAGGACATCATCAGGACTGACCAGAGGCTCTTGATAATACCGTTTGACAACACGGACCTTTTCTGAGCAGCTGACTTCAGCCCTGAGCTATTTTTATGAGGAACTAAAGTCAACCTACCTAAATCTCAAAACTCTGTGTCTCCTCTTGTTTATCTCTGTGCTGTCCTCGGAGGCCAGTAAGAAACTGTCCTTCTTACAAGTTTAATTTACCTGTATCTTTGGATCAAAGGTACTGTAAATGCTTATGTGTAGACCCAATGCCTGAAAACTGAATCAAAATAAGCTAAAGTATGACGTAGATAAAAACAAGGAAAACCACAAGGAAAGTAGACTCACGTGTTAGGAAGATCAGAGGTATCGTTTAGAAGTGTCATGGCTGCCTGGACCATGACTATGGGGGTAGCCACATAGCCAGCCTCTGCAGAACACAGTTGATCAAAGAAAACTCTTAATGAAGTAGGCATTCAACAACACTCAAAAATCAAATGTAGATTTTATCTCTAACTCTAGGTATCAGAATTGTCTCAATAAATACTCTGTCCACCTAAAACTAATAATTAACTAGTACTTTACTAAGTTAGGATGTGTTAGTAAGTGCTTTAATTTTATTATCCTCACTTAATTTTCCTAACAATTACATGAAGTTAGTCCTATTTTTATCCCCACTTTCCAGATGAGGACAATTGAGGCACAGGCTGGAAGCCAGGCACACACGGGGAGCTGCACTGCCTCTGACAACGTCCAAAGCCAATGATCCTCACTTGTTTCTCCAGTAACACACCAGGCTCCACTTAAAAAAAAAAAGGTTCCATTTCTTTAAAAGAACTGAGTAACTATAAACGAAGTCTAGGGATCCCTGGGTGGCTCAGTGGTTTGGCGCCTGCCTTTGGCCCAGGGCACGATCCTGGAGACTCAGGATCGAATCCCACATCGGGCTCCCAGTGCATGGAGCCTCCTTCTCCCTCTGCCTGTGTCTCTGCCTCTCTCTCTCTCTCTCTGTGACTATCATATATAAATAAAAATTAAAAAAAAAAAAAAAACGAAGTCTAACTTTAAGAAGAAGTAGCTTTAAAAGAAGTCTATAAACAAGTGGAACTTTAGCGTTTACAATTCTGCCAAATAATACAAATACAGTGAAATTATCTTAAAAAGCCTGGCAGGGAGTTCGAAAAGAAGGGAAGGCACAAAGATACCTCTGCCATCTGGCTTGACTAAAACTGCAAAGCAGACACCCTCTCATCTCTCAGAGGTGATGGTTACTAAACTGATAATTATACTAGAATTCACAAGTAGGGCTGTCTCTGTAGGATTCTATCAAATGTATGCCAAAAGTTCTTGAACTTTTTTTGGGTGACAGATCCTTTCAACCACCCATCAAAAGCTTTACCCTCCTCAAAAAAATGCGCATGGGCACACACATTTTACAAACAATGTTAGGGTGTTTACAGACTACAAAGAAACCTTGGCCCACAGCTTTATAACTACACTGCTTTAAAATGACTATTAAGGGACACCCAGGTGGTTCAGTCAGTGAAGTGTCTGCCTTCAGCTTGGGTCATGATCCTGGGGTCCTGGGATCGAGCCCCACATTGGGCTCCCTGCACAGCGGAGCGTCTGTTTCTCCCTTTCCCTGTGCTCTCTCCCCTCCCCACTGCTTATGCTCTCTCTCTCTCAAATAAATAAAATATTTTTTTAAATTTTTTTTTATTTATTTATGATAGTCACACACAGAGAGAGAGAGAGGCAGAGACACAGGCAGAAGGAGAAACAGGCTCCATGCACTGGGAGCCCGACGTGGGATTCGATCCCGGGTCTCCAGGATCGCGCCCTGGGCCAAAGGCAGGAGCTAAACCACTGCGCCACCCAGGGATCCCCTCAAATAAATAAAATCTTAAAAAAAAAAAGTGATCCATGAGTATGAGAATAAATAGCAATCAGCCTTTTCTTACTCATGTTAAAATATGCCACAGAATTATGAAATCATACTAAAAAAACCCAGGAGGGTTATGCTAATAAAATTAAATTATAACAATTTCAATCCTTCCCTTAACAGAATAATTTATATTATTAAATAATTTGTGCAAATTTATTTCTAAAATTATTAAGCTTTAAGGAAAAAACATCGTAATACTGCTTTATACCTTAAGACAATGTAAAACTCCCCAGGATTCTTAAGTCATATGTGAAATACCTGGTCCTTTCACCTGAGTACAAATTCTCATATTTGGTTTGTTCTTCTCCGGACCAAAGCCTTGACTGTATCCTTGACCAAAGAATGTCATTGTAAACGAGGTGGCATCCATCTGAGAAAAAAGCAGGCAAAGGCTTTACTTAATAAATATGTCATTTCCTCCCTGAACACAGTAAAACCTACTATGCTACCTCAATAGGACACATTTTCAATAGATGAAAACATCAACATTCTGCCAGAATGCTCTATCATCCTTTAAGCACGAGGCAAAAATCAATTATTTGAAGAAGCAAGTTTTGATGAAGGGGAGGAAGGTGGTGAGGAAGAGGGTTGTGGTGCAGACAGTTCTTAGCCTGGGGACTACGTGAGGACAGCACCACAAGAACAAAGTTTCAGAGGAAAAGCAGGAGGTAGTTTTTGTTTTAGTTTGGTGGCAGTAGTCAAATGTGGTAATCTGGTTTCAGATATCTCTTTGAGGAGACCAGACAAAAACAGCCAACAAGCAATGGAAATATAGACAATACAGAATTGTTCCACTTGGAGATGTAAAAACGGGACTCAAAAAATTAAATTCTAGAAGTCATCTTTCACAATCATTAAATTTAGAAATAAGGTAATGGGGATCCCTGGGTGGCGCAGCGGTTTGGCGCCTGCCTTTGGCCCAGGGCGCAACCTTGGAGACCCGGGATCGAGTCCCACGTCGGGCTCCCGGTGCATGGAGCCTGCTTCTCCCTCTGCCTATGTCTCTGCCTCTCTCTCTCTCTATCATAAATAAATAAAAAAATTAAAAAAAAAGAAATAAAGTAATGAAGAATTCAGTTGTGGTCAACAAATTTTTATTACTGAGATATCATTAAAATATGGCTCCTATCTTTTCTGGAGCTGACAGTTCAGTAGGGGATACATGTGTGTATATATACATATAGATGTAATAACAACATGTGACATGAATTAAAAGATGCAAGACTTGTTCAAAGGAGGGTATTATTAAATCTGTTGGGGAGGACAGGGCGGGGTTTGAAGTGTGTACACACAGACACTCTAACAGAAGTGTACTACACAGGACAGTGGGGTGGGCACCAGAAAGGAGAAACCACCATTTAAAGGCAAGAAGGTATGCAGCATCATGGTGGAACAGGGTGGCGCTCATCTGTTAAAGGTACAGACAAGGTCTGACACAGGCCAGCACTTGTCTCTTTCCCTCCCTGAGCACAATCTTCTCAGGATGGGCATATATGTTCAGCTTCAGAACAATTTTCTTTTTTTTTTTTTTTTTTTTTTTTAAATTTTTATTTATTTATGATAGTCACACAGAGAGAGAGGGAGAGAGAGGCAGAGACACAGGCAGAGGGAGAAGCAGGCTCCATGCACCGGGAGCCCGACGTGGGACTCGATCCCGGGTCTCCAGGATCGCGCCCTGGGCCAAAGGCAGGCGCCAAACCGCTGCGCCACCCAGGGATCCCAATTTTCAATAGTCTCCAGGCTGTTACTACCAATTAATCAGAGTTGGCATGAAAAATGAAACCTATCTGCCATCCAGGACTAGATGATCAAGGACCTTACTTCTCCAGAGATGAACTGAATCAAAATCACCCAAACCTGACTTGGAACCCATCTACCTCTACACTAGAGACCACAACCTTGGCAGCGCATTAACATAATTGGCTTTTTTAAAAAGCCCAATGTTCAGGCCACATTCCCAACCAATCACACTCAAATCTCTGTCATTGGTTTTGGGCTCTTTGTTAAAGTTGAGAACCACTGTTCTATACTTCCAGGCACTATTCCACACCTACTGCATCAGAAGATCCAGACGCAGGGTCAGGACATGTATTTGGGAAAGCTCCCGGGGGCATTCTACTACATACAATCCCAGGTAAGAATCATTGCCATGCAGTGGTCAGGGGAGTAGGTCAGATCTTTGATCTTAGCAGTGAGAAGACTGATAAGGGATTCATATCCCATATCCATATATGGATAACTCCTAAAACTCAACAATAAAAACACAAACAACCAATTCAAAAATGGGCAAAGAATTTGAATGGACATTCTCTAAAGAAGACCTACAAATGGCCAATAAGCACATGAAAAGATGCTCAACACCAACCACTAATGATGGGGAAGTACAGATCAAAACCACGATAGATACCACCTCTCACCTGTGAGAATAACTACAGGCGGCACTGGGCTGGCTCAGCTGATGAAGTGTGTGACTCTTGATCTCGGGGCTGTGGGTTTGACCCCACCCTAGGTATAGGGATTACTAAAAATAAACTTTAAAATAAACCCAGGAAACAAGAGTTGGCAAGGATGTGAAACAATGGGCACACTCGTGCACTGCTGATGGGAATGTAACATGGTGTGGAGCCCTGGAGAGGATGTGGAGAAAGGGGACCCTCCTGCACTGTTGATGGGATTGTGAACTGGTGCAGCCACTCTGGAAAACTGTGTGGAGGTTCCTCAAAGAGTTAAAAATAGACCTGCCCTACGACCCAGCAATTGCACTGCTGGGGATTTGCCCCAAAGATACAGATGCACTGAAACGCCAGGACACCTGCACCCCGATGTTCATAGCAGCAATGTCCACAATAGCTAAACTGTGGAAGGAGCCTTGGTGTCCATCGAAAGATGAATGGATAAAGAAGATGTGGTCTATGTATACAATGGAATATTACTCAGCCATTAGGAACGACAAATACCCACCATTTGCTTCGACGTGGATGGAACTGGAGGGTATTATGCTGAGTGAAATGAGTCAATCGGAGAAGGACAAACATTATATGTTCTCATTCATTTGGGGAATATAAAAAATAGTGACAGGGAATAAAGAGGAAAGGAGAAAAAATGAGTGGGAAATATCAGAAAGGGAGACAGAACATGAGACTCCTAAGTCTGGGAAACAAACTAGGGGTGGTGGAAGGGGAGGTGGGCAGGGAGTGGGGGTTACTGGGTGACAGGCACTGAGGAGGGCACTTGATGGGATGAGCACTAGGTGTTATTCTATATGTTGGCAAATTGAACTCCAATAAAAAATAAATTTACAAAAAAAAAAAAAAAAGAATTACCACAGGATCCGGCAATTGCATGTCAGGATATTTACCCCAATGAACTGAAAGGAGGATCCTAAAGATATATTTGCACACCCATGTTCAAAGCAGCATTATTCAAAATATTCAAATGGTGGAAGTAACCCAAGGGTCCATGGATGGATAAATGGAAATGGGGTACATATATATGGTATGTGTGTTTGTGTCTATAGGAGGGATGTCTATGTGTGTGTGTGTGGGTCTGTGTCTGTGTGTTTGAGGGGTGTCTGTGTGTGTGTGGCGTGTGTATGTAAGTGTGTGAAAATGAACTACTATTCAGCCTTAAAAAGGAATGAAGTCTGGCACCTGCTACCATGAGGATGGACCTTGAGGACATCATTCTCAGTGAAATAAGCCAGTCACAGAAGGACAAATACTGTGTGACCACTTGTATGAGGCACCCAGAGTGGTCATATTCAAAGAGAGATTAGAACACTGGTTGCCAAGAGCAGGGGGAAGAGAGGAAAGGCAAGTTATTGTTTAGTGGGGACAAGGTTTCAGTTCTGGGAGAGGAAAAAGTTCTGGAATGGACAGTGGGGATGGTTGCACAATAATACAAATGTGCTGCATAACAACTTGGATTTGCATAATATGAGTATTTTGAATATGGTATTGATACCACTGCACTTAAAAATGGTTAAGATGGTAAATTTTATGTTCTGTGTACTTTACCACAACTGTGGATGAGGGGGAAAAGAAAACAAGAGAGAGGGTAGCCCGGGTGGCTCAGTGGGGTAGCCCAGGTAGCTCAGTGGTTTAGTGCTGCCTTCAGTCCAGGGTGTGATCCTGGGGACCCGGGATTGAGCCCTGAGTCGGGCTCCCTGCATGGAGCCTGCTTCTCCCTCTGCCTGTGTCTCTGCCTCTCTCTGTCTGTCTCTGTCTCTATGAATAAATAAAAAACAAAAACAAAAACAAAAAAAAAACAAGAGAGAGCTAAGAGCTAAGAGCCTCAGCTAAGGTGGGTATGATGAGTTTGAAGAAAAATCTAGAATTATGCCTATGTTTGTGATGGTGCAAATGACTGTGCCTCCAACAGAGATGGGAAGTAAAAGAAGAGGAGTGTTTGGGGGAAAGAAGTTCAGCTCTTGACACGTTCAATTCAAGTACCCGAGACACATCCAAGTGATCTACAGATCTAAGCAGGTTTGCTGAGAACACAGCTCAGATGACTCAGGGACAGTGAGTGGGCTGAGGATGGATTCTGGGGGGAGGTCAACACATAAGGAGTAGTCCCCTCAGAAGTGAGGGTACAGCAGAGGAGGAGAGGAACAGAGTGGACCCTTGGAAGAGCGATGTTCTCAGAAGCCAAGGGAAGTGAGTATTTCAAGAAAGACAACAATATCAGAGATCACAGCACTCAAAACACTCAGCAGTATGAAGACCAATGTCGACTCTAGCAAGGGGACAGTAGAGGGTAAGGGAAGGCCAAGGACTCCTTTCTGGGTTGGCATGAGCATAGGATGAGGAGAGGCTGTGAAAGATCAACTGAGGAAGTCAGCAGTGAAGACTCAGGCTGGAGTGATTCTCAGGGCTGCCACATTCTAGCTGTAGGAACTTGGCAGGAACACCCGCTCTGATTATGTCCTCGACTATACAAAGCGGCTATTACCTCTACCTACGTGGTCATGGTGTAAAGCACTTGGCTCTGTGCCTGCCACACAAGAAGTGCTTGATTTTTTTTTTTTTTTGAAGTGCTTGATTTTTAAAGAGCCCGGGGGTGGATTTGTCTCATACAGAATCCTTTCCTGAGAGGAACAGAGAAGGTAAAGATGAGAGCAGTGGTGTGAGTCTGAGAGCAGGAAGCCGAGGGGCACACGACCCACGCTCTCAACTCCATCAGTGAAGCAGGAGTTGAAACTGCAGACACAGGGGGTCTGGGGCAAGGGGGAATGCTGAGAAAACCCCAGGACAGGAGATGAACAGATGGCTAATTATAAGCGATAGGATCAGCCAATGGTGTTACTGTTCCAGCGGGAGGGGGAAGAAGCATTGTCCTCATGCCCATCCGTCCTTTCAGTGAGGGCACCTCCCCAGTGGTGCCTGGTGCCAGCAGACCGGGCTCCTGACCGGGGTCTGCCTTGGGGTCCGTGAACCATGACAGGAATGAGCCTGGCGTGCACAGAAGAGGAAGGAGAAGGGAAATACTGGGAAGGAGGAGGTGTGGAGGAGAAAAATGAAGACTAAACATTTCTGAGGCCTCTAGGAAGAGAGTAAGACTCTAGAGCCAGATGACTGGGATCCCACCCTGGCTTGGTCATGGCCTCGTTCGCTGTAGGACCCTGGGCAAGTTTCCTAGCTTTTGTGCCTCAGGCTTCTCATCTGTAAAGTGGAGAGAATACCCACTCTAAGGGTGTTTTAAGAGACTAAGCCACCTAATTTATGTGACGAACATAAAAGCATACTGAAACACAGTAAGTGCTCAAGTCTTACCTGTTATAGTAAACGCACTGAGGAAAAATTAAAAAATAAAGAAAATTATTAAAGAGTTGTATACAAAAGGAAGGGTTACCTGTTTTTGTGTTGGACCTTGTTTTGAAAAATAACCAAAGGAGAAGAGCCATGGAAACTAAAGGAGAAAACAAAACAAAACAAAACCCTCAGTGATATTTTTTTTTTTAAAACTCATGGAAAATATTTCTAAAGACCTAATTTCATAAAAGTATCACTTACTTTTATGAGAAGCTGTCTGCCAATGCCACACTTCACAAAGAATAAAAAGAAAAGTCCTGCAAACATCAGCTTAATAACGGAGGTGATGCCTCCCATAGTCACATAAGCGGCATACTGAACCTGGATAATGATGCGAGGTCAGAAGGTTACTCCCTACTTTTGTAGACTGAGGAAATCAATAATGTTAGCTATTTATAACTTACTCCATAGTCATCAACACTGAGCAAAAGCAGTTTCCACTTTATGAACATGTTATGCTTTAAAAGCTTATTTAGAAACCAGACACTGGAAGCATATTGTTTATAGTAGAAATTGTTGCAAATGGTAATTAGCTTCCTCTACCTGAACACAAAAGTCCCCATGATCCATACATAAAAAGACCACATGAACATATCTAAATTTAGTGATTACCTACTATAAAATACAGATTCTACTTACAACTTCTTCTTTGAGAAAATAATCTTTTAAATTGAGAAAATCTTTTAAATGGAGAATATAATTTTTAAATAAAGGATTTAAAGAATCTTTTAAATAGAGAAAATAATTTTCTTTGAGAAAATAATCTTTTAAATTGAGATATGGTTTCCTCTTCAAGTCTCAGAAATGGGGGCAATCACTTCCGTCACCAAAAGGAATGTCACTCCAAAGGTTGGAGGTTGAAAGACATAAGAATTCAGACATCTCCACAAGCAACAGAGTATACTTGAAGCTAAAACCCTCAAGTGGGTTGCTGGGTGTTCATGACACCAGCATTTCCTGGACGAAATTTGCTGCTGTTGTTTCATTAACAAGGTACGCAGCTGGCCAGACTTGAATTATGGGGGAGGCTATATCTGCCCCCATAAAATGCAAAATGCTTTATACACTACTGATTCTCACACTTCCAGAAACCAAAACCTGCATTAATTTAGCCTTCTTTTTTTTTTTGCTTTGTAAACATAAAAATCCTAAACAGGTAGGAGGAGCAATAATGAATAGAATACTCTTCATTAAAAATTAAATCGTGGGATGCCTGGGTGGCTTAGTAGTTGAGGGTCTGTCTTCAGCTCAGGTTGTGATTCCAGGGTTCTGGGATTAAGTTTTGCACTGGGCTCCCCGTAGGGAGAGCCTGGTTCTCCCTCTGCCTATGTCTCTGCCTCTCTCATGAATAAATAAATAAAATGTTTAAAAAAAAAAACCCCAAAAATTAAAAATTTAAATTAAATTGTATGCACTTACAGGCGATTGCTCCAAATTCTCATGCAAGTAACGCTGAGTCCGCCTCACAACAGAGACATCCGCTCCCAAGAAAGGAATAGAATAGCTATTCAGTTCTCTGCAGTAAGAAATTGGCCACCTGTAAGACAGACCCATGAAGAGTATGCTGCATTTTCTCTACTCACAGTTAACTTGGCAAATTTCTGAATAAAAAATGGAGCTTTTCTCAGGGCAGTAATGACAACAAAGATGGCAGGTCTGCTCTTCACTTGATCTTAGCCAAAAGGCCAAGAAGCGATGGCAGGTCTACTCTTAATTAAAGTTTCTCTCAGTATCTATCCTGTGTTCTCTACACCTGCACCAAACCAGTGACGAGTGGACAGAGCAGTATTCTTTATACCAAGGGCACAGGACAAATATATTTTACCCCATCAATCTCTTTAGACGGTACTGATAAAAAGAATGTTCAACAGCCAAACCCTAGTATGAGTTTAGAGTTCTCACATAAAAAATTTTCACAGTCACATTTTAAAATGGCAGTTTTACTGCATAAAATTTAACTGATATTTGATTTTGAAAATGATAGTGAAAAAAGGCACAAAAATCCATTTTCTTCCAGAATACAAATATATTATTACATATGAAGTACTTAAGCTTAGGATAATACATTAATTATATTTTATTTAGCTAGGAAGATAATCCTGAACTCACTACAACAGTCTCAGGCTTTTCTAAGTGGCATACTTTATTAATAACCACACCAACAGCAATATACTTAGACTCGATATACTAAAGAAGAGATTTTGAGTTAATATACCTTCTTTTCAATTTTGGACCAACAATTGGGACAGGTTTCAGATTTGACTCGTTTCGCAGTTTTTTCAAATTACTCTGATCTCCAAAACCATAAACTGCAGACTTCCAGGTACCGTCATGAATGCACAACCCCTAATAAAAATTCAAAAGGTAAAAAAACACGACTTACGGGATAATTACTGAAATATAAAACCAAGGAATTTATAATGGTTACAGAGAACATTTTTCCTCTATTTGAGGAAGCCATAATCTCTTATTTAACAGTCTTGAGAGGAATTTTCAGGCAGGACTAACACACACTAGCTTGATCACATTTGATATTTACATCCACGTATACTCTTTCTTCTTCCTTCCCACCATCACTTATGCTCCTTTCAGTATGGAACTGAGTTGCACCTCTGCATTTTCACTCAACTGACCATACTCCTTCAAAATTAACCTAATTCCTATCCCTGTGATGATTCTCCCAAATTTCAAGATGTGTTCATGAGCATATTTACGCACACATACATAATGTACAAACCTATTCCAGCCCTGTCGTCCTTGGTGCCCCACCAACCCCAACACCCCTTACTATAACCCCAAGCTATATAAATATCTTCCACATAAGTCTTGTTAAAATACTTTTTTTTCATTTTAAGGCTTATTAATATGATTTATATTTTAATTTCTTTCACTTCAATTTCTTTCTGAAACTGTAGCCAGAATAGAAAGAATCCTTGCTTATCTTACCCAGACTCATTCATTCACTTATTTCCCACCTTTCAGTGCTTCCCATTTTTCTAACATAATTACCCTTCCACCACCCTCACCTCCAATGCCCATTAGAAGCAAGGGACAGAAAGGAAAGTACAGGCAAGGATCTAACCTGGGGACTCATTAGTGCCCAGGCTTCTTTACCTAACTTCTACGTGGGCCTTTTAATTCTCTGTTATATAAATATTTTATGCTTCATTTATAATTTTAAGTCCTGCCTTACATGTAGTTTAACTTGTTTGAATGAACAGTTATTAGAAATATTAAAAACCAAGTTGGTCACAAGATTTTGAAGGAGTATCATCAGTAAAGCTCATGTGAAGATACTGTTGCTTGTTAATAAGCAGGATAAGAGAAACAATAAAAGCATCAGAAGATTCAGGTGTTTATATCAGAACTTTGATGACAATGGAAGGCAGAGAGACACCAAACTTAGCTTCCATTTTGATAAAGATTAGTATCTTCTGTTGTGTTAAAACAAACAGGGTTGGAAGTCTGAGATGTTCTATGTGAAACTACTCTAAATCTGGGTTTAGTCAATGTGATTTGCAAATACAGAGATTCCCAGGGGCACCTCACTGGCTCAGTTGGTGGAGCATGTGACCTTTGTAGAGATTACTTAAAAACAAAATCTTTAAATAAAAATTAAAAAATAAAAGACTTGCAAATACCAGAAGAAAACAGCTTGTTGAAAACCTAAGAATATCCTCTTATACAAATAAGCCATCAAAAAGGACAAATTACATTCCAGTTTTAAAAACTGTTTATCTTGGCAGTCCAGGTGGCTCAGCAATTTAGCGCCGCCTTCGGCCCAGAGCCTGATCCTGGAGACCCGGGATCGAGTCCCATGTCAGGTTCCCTGCATGGAGCCTGCTTCTCCCTCTGCCTGTGTCTCTGCCTCTCTCTCTGTGTGTGTCTCTCATGAATAAATAAATAAAATCTTAAAAAAAAACTGTTAATCTTACTGAAAAACAAAGTACACAAAACATAAATATACAATTAAATGAAATTATGAAACAAACAACTCTGTAGCTCAGAAGGTCCTCCTGTCCCACTTTCATAGTAATAAAGACAAATACTTGCTTTTCCTTAGTTTTACCACCTAAGTATTTATTTCTAAACAGTACAGTGAATTTTGCCTGTTTGTAAACTTTACAGAAATGGAAGCACACAGCCTATATTTCTTTGAGTTTGGCCTTTTATGCCCAAAACTGTGATGTTAAAATTCATCATGTGTTAGAAGTAACTCCTACTCTGGAAATAAAAATTACATGGAAACAAATGAAAATGAAAATATGACAGTCCAAAACCTCTGGGATACAGCAAAAGCAGTTCTAAAAAGGGTGTTTATAGCCGCACAGGCCTACCTCAAGAAGAATGAAAAATCTCAAATACACAGCCTAATCTTACTCCTAAAGGAGCTAGAAAAAAGAACAAACAAAACTCAAAACTAGCAGAAGGAAGGAAATAAAAATTAGAGAAGAAATATATGATACAGAAAACTAAAAAGCAATAGAAGCAATTGAAACCAGGAGATGGTTCTTTGAAAAGATCAACAAAATTGATAAATCTCTAACCAGAATCAGAGAGAGAGAGAGAGAAAGAGTGAGAGTTTAAAATCACAAAGAGGAGAAATAATAACCAACACTACAGAAATACAATTTTTAGAGAATATGATGAAAAACTATACGCTAACAAATTGGACAACCTAGATGAAATGGATAAATTCCTAGAAACATATGACCTAACAAAACTGAGGCAGGAAGAAACAGAAGATTTGAACAGACTGATTACCAGCAATGAAATTGATCAGTTCTAAAAAAAACTCCCAATAAACAAAGTCCAGGACCAGACAGCTTCACAGGTGAATTCTACCAAACACCTATTCTTCTCAAACTATTTCAAAAAGTGGAAAAGGAAGGAAAACTTCCAAACTCATTCTATGAGGCCAGCATTACCCTGATACCAAAGCCAGATACAGAAACTACTCCCCAAAAAAGTACAGGCCAATATCTCTGATAAACATAGCTACAAAAATCCCCAATAAAATACTAGCTAACTGAATCCAATAATACATTAAAAAAGTCATTCACTACAATCAAGTGGGATTTATTCCCAGAATGCAAGGATGGTTCAGTATTCCACACATCAACCATGATACATCACATCAATGAGAGAAAGGATAAAAAACCACATGATCATTTCAACAGATGCAGAAAAAGCACAATAAAGTACAACATCCATTACAAAGTACATTTAGAGTGAACATACCTCAGCATAATAAAGACCATCTAATGAAAAACCCACAGCTAACACCATCTGTAATGGGGAAAAGTTGAGTTTTTTTCCCTAAGATCTGGAATAAGGCAAGAATGTCCATTCTCACCACTTTTATTCAACATAGTATTAGAAGTCCTAGCCACAGCAATCAGACAACAAAAATAAGTAAAAAGCATCCCAACTGGTAAGGAAGAAGTAAAACACTTAACTATTTACAGATTACATGATACTCTATGTAGAAAACCCTAAAGACTCCACCAAAAAACTGCTGGAACTGATAAAAAAAAAAATTCAGTTAAGGGGCACCTGGCTGGCTCAGTCAGGTAAGCAGTTGGCTCTTGATTTCAGCTCAGGTCATGGTCTCAGGGTCCTGGGATCAAGTCCTTCACCAGGCTCTGCAGAGTCTGAAAGAGGATTCGAGCTCTTCCTCTGCCCCTACCCCCACTCACCCATGCATGCACTCTCTAGTTAAAAAGAAAAAAATTCAGTTAAAGTCACAGGACCTAAAATCAATTCAAAGAAATCTGTTGCATTTCTATACACCAGTAATGAAGAAGAGAAATCAAGGAATCAATCCTATTTATAATTGTACAAAAATAATAAAATACCTAGGAACAAGCTTAACCAAAGAGTATTAAAGACCTGTACTCTGAAAACTATAAACACCAAGGAAAGAAACTGAAGACGATACCTAGAAATGGAAAGACATTCATTCCATGCTAATGGGTTCAAAGAACAAATATTGTTAAAATGTCTATATTATCCAAAACAATCTACAGATTTAATGTAATCCCTATCAAAATACCAGTAGCATTCTTCAGAGAACAAACAATCCTAAAATTTGTATGCAATCTCTGAGGCACCTGGGTGGCTAATTGGTTAAGCAGTCAACTCTTGGTTTCAGCTCAGATCATGATCTCAGGGTTGTGGGATCTAGCCCCATGCTGGGCTCCACACTGAGTACGGAGTCTGCTTGAGATTCTCTCTCCCTCTCTCCCTCTGTTCCTTCCTGCTCATGCGTGCTCTCTCAAAAGAAAACCTTAAAGTTGGGGATCTCTGGGTGGCTCAGTGGTTTGGCGTCTGCCTTTGGCCCAGAGTGCGGTCCTGGAGTCCCGGGATCGAGTCCCACGTCGGGTTCCCGGCATGGAGCCTGCTTCTCCCTCTGCCTGTGTCTCTGCCTCTCTCTCTATGTCTATCATGAATAAATAAATTTTAAAAATCTAAAAAAAATTTTTAAAAAGAAAAAAAAAGAAAACCTTAAAGTTAAAATTAAGAAATAAAATTTGTATGGAATCTCTAAAGACCCTGAATAGCCAAAGCAATCTTGAAAAAGAAAAACAAAACCAGAAGTATCACAATTCCAGACTTCAAGTTATATAAACAAAGCTATTGTAATCAAAACAGTACGGCACAAAAAATAGACACAGATCAGTGGAATAAAACAGAAAACTCAGAAATAAACCCACAATTATATGGACAATTAGTCTTTGACAAACCAGAACAGTATCCAGTGGAGAAAGTCTCTTGAACAAATGGTGCTGGGAAAACTGGACAACTACTATAAAGGAATGAAACTGGACCACTTTCTTATACCATACACAAAAAGAAAACCTCAAAATGGATTAAAGACCTAAATGTGAGGCGTGAAACCACAAAACCCCTAAAAGAGAGCACAGGGAATGTCTCTGACATTGGCTGTAGTAGTGTTTTTCTAGATATGTGGCAAGGGAAATAAACGCAAAATTAAACTGTTGAGACTACATCAAAATAAAAAGTTTCTGTACAGCAAAGGAAATAATCAACAAAACTAAAAGACAACCTACTGAATAGGAGGAGATATTTGCAAATGACATATATCATAGGAGTTAGTATCCAAAATACAAAAAAAAAACCTGACACAATACCCAAAAAAAAACCCCAAATAATGCAATTAAAAAATGGTCAGAAGGGGATCCCTGGGTGGCGCAGTGGTTTGGCGCCTGCCTTTGGCCCAGGGCGCGATCCTGGAGACCTGGGATCGAATCCCACGTCAGGCTCCCGGTACATGGAGCCTGCTTCTCCCACTGCCTATGTCTCTGCCTCTCTCTCTCTCTCTG